CACAAAATCGAGGGAAAAACTATTTTCCAACAGGATAATGCTTCAATTCATGTCCACCAATCGAAATCTCTCCGGCGAATCTGTCATTTGGCCGCTTTTCTTTATTAAAAATTGTTAAGAAAAGCTTTTTCAGTACTTCAATGCAAAAATAGCGTTTAACATCACTTAATAACATTAAGAATTATCTTCAGTGATGAGAAGAAATTTAATTTGGATGGTCCAGACGGCAACAAGTACTATTGGCACGATTTGAGAAAAGATCCAATGCTTTGTGGACGTCGAAACATCGGAGGAGGATCACTGATGGTATGGGGCGCCGTCAATGTGGAATTCTTGATTTAGAATTTGTGACTTGTCGCATGAACTCGAACGATCACCAGGACGTCCTTGCGGATCAACTACTTCCTTTTCTAGCACAAAATCGAGGGAAAAACTATTGTCCAACAGGATAATGCTTCAATTCATGTCCACCAATCCAATTCTCTCCGGCGAATCTGTCATTTGGCCGCTTTTCTTTATTAAAAATTGTTAAGAAAAGCTTTTTCAGTACTTCAATGCAAAAATAGCGTTTAACATCACTTAATAACATTAAGAATTACATTTAACTATTTTGGTTTGAACTGGTATAACCAGAATTGAAGTTAAAGGAGCAGGGAAAAAGATGAACATTGAGTTTTTTTCGATATTCAGTTTATATCGTTATATTTACTATTCTGGCGCTATAAATTTATTGAAAAGTTTTTGAATAAAATTATCACAAATTTGATTGCAAAGAAAAGCTCTAAATGAAATTTTTTTCATGTAGAAAAGCGGCGAAATGACAGATTCGCCGGAGAGAAATCGACTAGCGCTCATTCAAGCGCTTGTAAAATGAGTTGTATAAGTCCAATCAGAAAGTTTTTGGTAGATAAATGTAGCCAAGCATTAGAGCTACAATTCTTTATATAACACTTGCCACTTTTGAAAGAAATTCGACATTTCTCAGCTAGGTTTTTGAAAAAGTTTCTCTAGAATTTCGCGGTCATTCTGTGTTTTCAATTTCTAGCTTTCTAATTTCAATTTCTAACGTCAGTTTCTAATTTTGAATTTAAATTTCTAATTTCCGTACTTAACCCAGACTTGAGTAGAGTTTACAATCAACAATCGACAATGAAAGAAATTTTTTTGGCAAACCTTTCTAGTAGGTCAACCCTTTAATGTATAAGGACAATATTATATCATTTTGTAGGGAATTCTCGCTAGAATTCGCGGTTACCCTTTTCATTAAAAACAATTATATAAAAATGTCTGTTCTCGTAAAAAAAGACGCCATTTTGATTATAAAATTGTCTGATTTTTAAAAAAAAAAACCCCATTTTGATCTCTTTTACCCGCAGAAACTCTAAAATTCATTCGAGAACGGCTACAAACCAATTATTTCTCGTGCTATTCTGTGATTGTTGCACAAAAGCAGACAAAGCAGACATAAAATTTGAAAAATGGATGTTTGATTTGAGATTTTTTTGAAATTTGATGTTAAACATTGTTGGTGATTCATTTTTTAGTGAACTGTTGTTATTGTCGATGGTTTTTTTTGATGTTCATCGCGAGTTTATAGTGATAACTTAAGAATTTAGCACTTTATAGTATACCAGCCGAGAAATCCGGGTTTTTCTGGATGTTTTGGAGAATGAGCTTTTGTCGCCGTGGCGCGCCGGTCTATCGCTCATACGACCTGGGCTCGACCTCCGTGTACGACTCGAATTGTGCTTTTCAAAAAAATTCAAAACCACGTTGGACAACTATATGTAACTCCCTATTCAACAGCGCAAAAATCATTGCAAACGGTCCTCTGGGGGCTAAAGAGTGCGCACAGATAGACAGGCGGACAGACAGGCGGACAGACAGGCGGACAGACAGGCGGACAGACAGGCGGACAGACAGGCGGACAGACAGGCGGACAGACAGGCGGACAGACAGGCGGACAGACAGGCGGACAGACAGACAGACAGACAGACAGACAGACAGACAGACAGACAAACAGACGGACAAACAGACGGACAAACAGACGGACAGACAGACGTCTTAGTCCCTATATATAGTAGATAAACTTTAACTAAATTTAATCTACACTTTCATTCACTTTTTTATCTCTAAAGTTTCCAATTTGTCCATTTTTATATGAAAAAAATTGCAAAAATAGCTAAACTTGCACAAGAAAATAAAGTTTTCGCAAGTTTAGAGTCTAAATTTTTCTATTATAGCTTGCTTTTAGCATCTGAATTCAGTTTTTGATAAGTTTCGACGATTCTTTTTGGATCTGGATTCAGTTTTGACAATTCTTTTGAATCTGGATTCAGTTTTGACAATTCTTTTGAATCTGGATTCATTTTTGACGATTCTTTTTGAATCAAATCAAATTTTAAACCCCAATTCAGCTTTTCGACAAATCTATCGACAATTTCCCACAAATTTTGTGAAAAATTTGATTCCGATTGTTCCCTCATTCATCTCGATGTGGCAAATATTGGAAAATATCCGTCGAGCTTATTGATTTGACCCAAAAAAAAAAGCTTTGATTAATCGGGACTCGAAACTTTTGACCGATCGTTTATTGTGTACCTTTTTTTTGGTCATAAAACTTTTTAGTGTTTTACAAAATTTGGAAATTCTATTGACTTATGCTTTCAAAAATATTTCAATTCTCTTCTTAAATCGATTTTTTTTCTTTTTCTTTCTTTCTCTTCTTTTTTTTTGTTCACAAAATGCAGTATACTTTTCTTTTAGTGCCCCTTTTCTGGTTTAGCTTTGAAAGACAAACTTTTTAGTACATTGAAATCTTTATTTTATGTTTTTTTTTAGCTTAAAAAGAAGCTTTCTAAAGGTTTTTTTTAAAAAAAAAATATTCTGAAGCATTGAATTATCAAATTCTTTAGTTTCATTAATCTTTTGTGCTCATAAAAATCAGAAAATTTTCTAGTTTATTGAATTTTCTTGTAATAGTCCTTAATGTAAGAAAATGAAGAGTTAAATGCTCTAGAAAGGGTTGAGTTTTGAGAGTAAAGTACACTAAATGTGTAATCGTTAATCATAAAGCTCTCGGAATAGTTTTTTTCATCAAAAATTTCATGCAAGATTTGTACAAGAACAAGAAAATCAAGTTTTCGCAAGTTTAGAGTCTAAATTTTCCTATTATAACTAGTTTTTAAAAGCTGAATCCAGTTTTTGATAAGTTTTGACGATTCTTGTGAATCTGGATTCGGTTTTGACGATTCTTTTTGAATCTGGATACAGTTTTGATGATTCTTTTTGAATCTGGATTCGGTTTTGACGATTCTTGTGAATCTGGATTCAGTTTTGACCATTCTTTTTGAATCTGGATACAGTTTTGATGATTCTTTTTGAATCTGGATACAGTTTTGACGATTCTTGTGAATCTGGATTCAGTTTTGATGATTCTTTTTGAATCTGGGCTCATTTTTGATGATTCTTTTTGAATCAAATCAAATTTTAAACCCCAATTCAGCTTTTCGACAAACCTATCAACAATTTCTAACTAATTTTGTGAAAAATTTGATTCCAATTGTTCCCTTATTCATCTCGATGTGGCAAATATTGGAAAATATCCGTCGAGCTTATTGATTTGACCCAAAAAAAAGCTGTGATTAAATTTTCTAGTTTATTGAATTTTCTTGTAATAGTCGTTAATGTAAGAAAATGAAGAGTTAAATGCTCGAGAAAGGGTTGAGTTTTGAGAGTAAAGTACACTAAGCGAGTAATCGTTAATCATAAAGCTCTCGGAATAGTTTTTTTTTGTCGTCAATTTCATACAATATTTGTTCAGGCTGACTGGCTGACTGCATTACTCTCGAATAGGCCATTTTCGAGGGAAAAATTCTGAGAGAAAAGAAAAAGAGAAACGGTTACCCGGGAAATCTCGTCGATTCAGCCATTTTTTCTTTCCTTCTTTCTTCCTTTCTTTCTTTCTTTCTTCCTTTCTTCCTTTCTTTCTTTCCTTCTTTCTTTCTTTCTTTCTTCCTTTTTCACCACTTTTCGGAAATAATCAAGGCGTTGATTTCCATAGGGATTCAAAAAGGGAAAAAACGCTCAACTTTCAAACATTTTTTCTTCTTTTAAAACACATAGAATTTTTAGAATTGCAAATTTATAATTAAAAATGAAATATGCTAGCTTTTAGTTTCAAATTTTTGCTTAAATTCTTGTTTGAAGTTTAGAATTTTTGTTTTATAGAATTAGACTTTGTAAATTAGGCTTTATTCTCTTTTAGAGTTCTTTTTTTTGCCTTTTTTTTTGACTTTTCCTTTGTCAAACTTTTATTTGTTCTTGTTCTTGTGTTTAAAAAAGAGCAACCATTCAAACTTTCTCATAATAACAACTTGATTGGCACCCGTAAACGTATGCTATCTGGTGCATCACAGAGAATTTGAAACTGATCTGGAACATTCTGAGATTTTCTGGGATTTTCCAGAACATTCTGTGATGCTCTAGAATATTCTGAGATTTTCTGAGATTCTCTAGAACATTCTGAGATTCTCCGGAAGACTCTGAGATTCTCTAGAACATTCTGAGATTCTCCGGAAGACTCTGAGATTCTCTAGAACATTCTGAGATTCTCCGGAAGACTCTGAGATTCTCTAGAACATTCTGAGATTCTCCGGAAGACTCTGAGATTCTCTAGAACATTCTGAGATTCTCCGGAAGACTCTGAGATTCTCTAGAACATTCTGAGATTCTCCGGAAGACTCTGAGATTCTCTAGAACATTCTGAGATTCTCCAGAAGACTCTGAGATTCTCTAGAAAATTCTGAGATTCTCCAGAACATTCTGAGGCTTTCTGAGATTCTCCAGACCATTCTGAGATTATCTGAGATTCTCTAGAACATTCTAAGATTCCTCAGAACACAAAAGTCTCAATATCTGCTCTAGTTTTTACCTAATCTTGTATAATCTTTAAATCCCTTTTTTTCTGACAAAACATCAAACAGCATTTCAGGGTTTTGATGTTATTGAGGATTATCTCAATATCCCTTTGCATTGCTCATGTGATCGGCTGGAATTTGACGATTGAACCGCCGCGCTTGTCGGCTTTTCGAGCGAAACAGGAACGGTGAGTAATGATCGCAGAAAAATGAGGCCTTTCGCTAAAATTCATCGCTAAATCTGTATTTAACGTTGAACATTTTATAGTAATAAGTCTTCTTAAAGCAATCCTGAAAAGTCGAACAGAAAGGTCGTTTTAAGCTTTAAATTTAAGCTTAAAGCTAACGATTTAAGCTTTAAATCAGCAAGAATCTTAGCAAAAAAAAGATTCTGGATTTTCTAATCAAAATTCGGCACTCTAAATAATGTAATCAACTCCGAATTTCAGCTATATTCTCATCACTCTCCAATCTTCGCAAAGCAGCAAAGAGAACATTTCGCTCACTTGCTCAAATGAAGCCATTTGCACGATTACTCCAAACGAAAGTTTCCTCGTTTTCTCTCAAAACAACAGCTTTACTCAAACGCTAAACGTTTCGGTTGAGGGAAAATTCATTGGAATCACGAAGTTGAATCTAAAAATCGGCAATCAGTAAGGGAAATCAGTAAATCCTGATTTTGTTTAAAGAGAAATTTTAGAACCTTTCACAATTACGAGATTCGAATCCAGCGAAGCGATTGGGAACATCAAAAAGCGAAAATTTTTATTACAATGCTCGTCATTTTCATCCCGACCGTTACTTTTATGATGGGCACACAGTTGAAGTTGAAAAAGTGAGCGAAATTTGCATAAGTTGTCAAGTAAATAGCGAAATTTGCATAAAAGTCACAAGTTGTCAAGGTTTTACATAAGCTTTATAAGTTTGCAATCAAAAAAGTGAAGGGATTGCCAATAGATCTGGGATTTGAGTCCTCGACCTTTTGCTTTTGCTTGCTCTAACCACTGATCCGTCATTCTCTACGAACTTCTGCTATTGATTAGCAAGATTTTTCAAAGCTCAAAGTAATTCAGTAGTTCAAAGGAGTTCTTTGACTCCTTTGAATCAAAGAACTCACACTTCTACAGCTTTTTGTCTTCTTATCTTCACCGTCAAGCTTTTGAGAAGTCAAGCTTTTGAGAAGTCAAGCTTTTGAGAAGTTAAGCTTTTGAGACGTCAAGCTCTTGAGAAGTCAAGCTTTTGAGACGTCAAGCTCTTGAGAAGTCAAGCTTTTGAGACGTCAAGCTCTTAAGAAGTCAAGCTTTTGAGAGGGAAGCTCTTGAGACGTCAAGCTCTTGAGAAGTCAAGCTTTTGAGACGTCAAGCTCTTAAGAAGTCAAGCTTTTGAGAGGGAAGCTCTTGAGACGTCAAGCTCTTGAGAAGTCAAGCTTTTGAGACGTCAAGCTCTTAAGAAGTCAAGCTTTTGAGAGGGAAGCTCTTGAGACGTCAAGCTCTTGAGAAGTCAAGCTTTTGAGACGTCAAGCTCTTGAGAAGTCAAGCTTTTGAGACGTCAAGCTCTTAAGAAGTCAAGCTTTTGAGAGGGAAGCTCTTGAGACGTCAAGCTCTTGAGAAGTCAAGCTTTTGAGACGTCAAGCTCTTAAGAAGTCAAGCTTTTGAGAGGGAAGCTCTTGAGACGTCAAGCTCTTGAGAAGTCAAGCTTTTGAGACGTCAAGCTCTTGAGAAGTCAAGCTTTTGAGACGTCAAGCTCTTGAGAAGTCAAGCTTTTGAGACGTCAAGCTCTTGAGAAGTCAAGCTTTTGAGACGTCAAGCTCTTAAGAAGTCAAGCTTTTGAGAGGGAAGCTCTTGAGACGTCAAGCTCTTGAGAAGTCAAGCTTTTTGAGACGTCAAGCTCTTGAGAAGTCAAGCTTTTGAGACGTCAAGCTCTTAAGAAGTCAAGCTTTTGAGAGGGAAGCTCTTGAGACGTCAAGCTCTTGAGAAGTCAAGCTTTTGAGAAGTCAAGCTCTTGAGACGTCAAGCTCTTGAGAAGTCAAGCTTTTGAGAAGTCAAGCTCTTGAGACGTCAAGCTCTTGAGAAGTCAAGCTTTTGAGACGTCAAGCTCTTGAGAAGTCAAACTTTTAAGAAGTCAAGCTCTTGAGACGTCAAGCTCTTGAGAAGTCAAGCTTTTGAGACGATAGAGAATCTATCGATCAATTAACAATAAAGAATCTATCAATCGATTAGTAGTAAAGAACCTAGAATCTATCAGCCGTTCCATCTAACGTTCAATCTTTGATAGACATCAAGCTTTTGAACCACTCGATCGCAGCGATCCCAACATTTCCTTCACCTCACAAATCACTTCAGTAGATCTCGCCAGCAAAGCCAGATCCAGATCAGGACCTAGCTTCTGAGCAAATCCAGTCACAAACAAAAATAATCTTGGTATTGTACGGACTTTGAAATTTCTCTACTAAAGAAATATCCTTGTTTCAGTATCAAAGAGATCTGGAAGCGCCCATTCAGCCCGTGCATCAGCCTTTTCTGTCAGTTTGGGATCATGCCATTGGTGAGTGAGCATAGTTTAGCTCAAGATTTAGGCATTGATTAACTTACTTTGTAATCAAAGCTCCATGCAAATTCAGACAGATCTAGTTCAGCCAAGGCAATCAGTCAGGGCAATCAGTCAGGGCAATCAGCCAGGACAATAAGCCAGGACAATCAGCCAGGCCCAGGATTTGGCTTTTGACTGAAAATCCCCGGCATCTGGTTTCTTTGTACATCAGCTATTATGTTTTAGATTGCCTATTGCTTGGCCAAGTACATTCTGGAGGAAGAAGGACGGGCAATTCAATTGGCGCTTTTTGCCGCTGGTACCTGTCCGGGTGGTGGAAAAAGCTCTTTCTGGACGATCATCTTCGGCGGGAATCTCGATTTATCCGTTTCGCTCACATTCGCTCAAAATTTCTTTGCTTTAAGTGAGTTTTTGAGAAATAGAAAGTACCGTTAGAATAGAAAGAAAGTACTGTTAGAATAGAAAGAAAGTACCGTTAGGATAGAAAGAAAGTACATGATTCTATTGGGTAAATGAAAGATTTTCCAGTAGCAATGCCGATTTGGATTGGCACTCTTGGAAAAGAGTTCACCACTGAATCGCTGCGCATTCCATTTGGGGACATTGTTGAAGCGTTGGTGATTTTACTGATTCCAACAGTTCTCGGAATGATCTTCATTCACTACAAAGCGAATCTCTACTCGGATATTCAGAAATTGGTCAAAGTTTGTTTGTTTTTCGTTTGGATTGCATCAATTTTGTTAGATAATCGTTTGGATTGGCACATTTTTCTTCTTTCTCACCTCGATTTATGCCAATTTCTACATTGTTTTCTTGTTGAATTGGAGAATTGTGTTGGCTGGTTGTCTTTTGCCTTGGTCAGGTGAGAAATGAGAAAGCATTTGGTTTATGGGTATGCTTTGGCACGTTTCTGATTCCAAATCTTCTAAAAAAGTTAAGCTATACTTTTTCTGAGGTTTACGAAACCAAACTTTGCCGTACAAAGTACATACAAACTTTGCGCGCTTATAACTTTTGACAGAGTGCTCCATAACAGAAACGGAAAGCAGATACGGAATCGGCGTTGAATTCTGCAGAAAATATAGTACATTTCATTTGTCCATCACACTCAGTTGAGATTCTATGTTGCTTGATGTGTGACATTGCTAGTTAGCGATGGGACACCAGTTGCCTTAACGCCTTAACACCTGAACGCCTTAACTCCTTAACGCCTTAATGCCTTAACGCCTTAATGCCTTAACTCCAATAACCAATACTTGTGTAAATCCAAAAGATGCAGCATGAAATTTCCCGTCAATCCTCCATATATGCTAAATTTTATCTAGTAAATGTTTGTTTGTGAAAAACTACGCACTTTAAGTATATCGGTAGCGAAGATCGGTAGCGAAGATAGGTAGCGAAGATCGGTAGCGAAGATCGGTAGCGAAGATCGGTAGCGAAGATCGGTAGCGAAGATCGGTAGCGAAGATCGGTAGCGAAGATAGGTAGCGAAGATAGGTAGCGAAGATCCCAATCGGTAGCGAAGAACACGTAGTTGGCATTTCATTGGCGATGAGATTAAAGTTGCTTGATGCTTGATCAGATTAAAGATTTCAGTGTAAACTTTTGTTTTCTTGATCATCAAAAAGGCGTATGCATACGGAACAAATAAATGTTTCCCATAAAGAAAAAGATTAACACGTTGCTTTAAAAGCAACCTCAGCTATTCCCCAATCGGTAGCGAAGAACATCCAGTTGACATTCCATTGTTAGTTGTTGATGGGACACTAGTTGCTTGATGAGATTTCAGTGTAAACTTTTGTTTTCTTGATCATCAAAAAGGCATATGCATACGGAACAATGTTTCCATTAAAGAAAAAGATTTACACGTGGTCTTAAAAGCAACCTCAGCGATTCCCCAATCGGTAGCGAAGAACAATCAGTTGAAATTCCATTGTTAGTTGGTGATGGGACACCAATTGCTTGATGAGATTTCAGTATTTCAGTTTCAGTGTTTCAGTTATCTCCTTGCTCATCAAAAAAGCGTATGCATACGGAACAAATAAATGTTTCCAAGAAAGAACACATTGCATTAAAAACTCTTCATGACAATTTCTAGTTTTTTTTCAGGCTACTTGATGGCGTTTATCGTGGCGACAATTTTGGGAATGGAGTTCAAGGATAAGATCACGATTTCGATCGAGACCGGGATTCAGCACGTTTGTGAGTGTTTTATACTTTAAAAATAATGTTTTCAGATAATGTTTTCAAATAAATTATCCCGTAAAGAAGATAAATAAGCTCGATTTTCGTTTAGCAATCGCAATGGTTATCTTGGTTTTAACTTTCCCGGAGCCAGAGGTCGATCTTGCGATGGTCATCCTATTTGTCACTGTTTTGATGACGGATAAGGTAAAGAATTTAAGAATTTAAGATTTCTTCAGAAGGGATGTGTTTCTTTTTTTAAAATCCAATCCAAAATTTTAGCCTCTTCTTTTCTTTTACTTTTTGCTACGCGTTTATCGACGTTTTAACCCATTGAAAGAGGAGAAAAAGGAAAATGGAGAGATCAACAATGGATCAACAGATATTACACCAAAGGACAGCTTCACTGACATTTCGCTAATCGATGATTCAAAAGTAAGCCAATTTTTTTGAATTTTCCAGAATCTAGAGCCATTTAAGCAAAGCCAGAGCTAAAGTTAAAGCTAAAGCCAGAGCTAAAGCCAGAGCTAAAGCTAAAGCCTGAGCTAAAGCCTGAGCTAAAGCTAGAGCTAAAGCCAGAGCTAAAGCTAGAGCTAAAGCCAGAGCTAAAGCTAGAGCTAAAGCCAGAGCTAAAGCCAGAGCAGGAATCAAATCCAGACTAGTAGATTAGCCAAAATTGAGTCAATTAATTAATTGTTCAAGTGAAAACAGAGCATAATGAGTTTTGGTGACATTTCTCAAGAATTTACACTTAAACCGCGTCGAGCATGTGTTTATTTATCTAATAAATTCAATCTAAACAAGTTTTTGACAAGATGGCTCTTGAAAGTTCGAGAAGTGGCGGCTCTCAACTTTGGAAGGTTATATAAACAAGTTGAAAGCTTGAATTGATTAGATAATGGACAACTTTTTAGGGGATATACTTAAGATTTATCTTCAGGAGAATCAGAATGATTGACTCAATTTTGGGAAATCTAGGGCGCTATAATTGTGGGCTGAAGTGAGGCGCTATAATTGTGGGCTAGTCTGTTAGGTGTATTTTTGATTGACTTATAATTAGTAATAAAGAATCTATTGATCTATCGATCAATTATTAGCTTGGTAAATATGAAAGGTTATTTTTTTGATCATTTTTAACGTAACAGAAAAATTTATTTAAACACTTTCAAAATCAAATGTATTCACCACAAGCATTAATAACTTCTTTCCAACGTTGCCCCAAATCACGAATACCGTCCTCGTAAAAATGAAGATTTTTAGAGGCAAAATAGTTGCCAACCCAATTTTCGATGTCCTACTTTTGTTTGAACTGCTGTCCAGAAACTGCTTGTTTCATTGACCGAAAGAGATAGTAATCCGATGGGGCTAGATCATGGCTGTATGGTGGGTGTGGAAGAAGTTTCCAGCTCAACGTATCGATTTGTTCTTGGACGATCTTTGAAATGTGAGGCCTAGCATTGTCGTGAAGAAATTTGACCTTCGATGGATCGATCCTCTTTTTCCTCAATGCTGGATCGACTCGACCCATTTGTTCTGCATAAAGTCTCCCGTCAACAGTGTCTCCTTTATCTAATATTTCAAAATGAGTCAATCCCTTAGGATTCCACCACACACAAAGCATAACTTTTTCGGAGGCTTCGGGATAGGATGAGAGGTCTGCTTTGAACTCAGCCACTGTCCATAGAGTTGAATATTTTCATACAAAAGCCAAGTCTCATCAGATGTCAAAAAATACTTCCAAAAGTCACGATGGCTAGCTTTACGTAGAAGAACAGAGCTCAAGGTGACTCGTGTGACTTAGTGGGCATCAGTGAGGTCGTGGGGGAGCCATTTACCGCTTCGATATGATTTCCCGAAAACGTGTAAATGGTAACATGAGTGCATCCGAACTTTTCTGCTAATTTGCGATGGATCCAAGTCGACCTCGTTCAGTAACAGCTGATCGTCCAAAGTAATCGGCGGCTTTCCATGTGGTGCATCTTCCAATGACTCGTTTCCCGTTTTGAAGCCATCGTACCAAACACAACATTGTTTGTAAGTAAGAGCAGCTTCTCCAAAAATAGTACAAATGTTCTGATGGCATTCCGTAGCTTTCTTGTTTAACTTGAATTCAAAGAAAATGCCGGCCCTGATTTTAAATTTTTGGTCATCCATCTTTGCCGAGCTGAAACAATACAAATATTATTCAAAACAAAAAAGTTTTTGCAAAAAAAACATGAGCACATTTTGACATATTATTGAGAAAAGTCCTAGACAGCGAATGTTCTTCGTAACGACAGGGCAATATTTTTTGTAAAAAATAACCTTTCATATTTACCAAGCTAATAGTAATAAAGAACCTATTGATCAATTAACAATAAAGAACCTATCGTTCAATTAACAGTAAAGAGTCTATCAATCGATTAATAATTAAGAACCTATCGTTCAATTAACAGTAAAGAATCTATCCATCAATTGGTAATAAAGAGTCTATTGATCAATTAATAATAAAGAACCTATCGTTCAATTAACAGTAAAGAATCTATCCATCAATTGGTAATAAAGAGCCTGTCGAGCAATCAATAATAAAGAATCTATTAATCAATTAATAATAAAGAATCTCTCGATCAATGAACAGTAAAGAGTTTATCAATCGATTAATAATTAAGAATCTATCAATCGATTAAAAGTAAAGAATCCATCGATCAATTAGTAATTAAGAATCTATTAATGAATTAATAATAAAGAGTCTATCGATCATATAGTAATAAAGAAAGTATCGATCAATTAGTAATAAAGAATCTATCGTTCAATTAACAGTAAAGAATCTATCAATCAATCAATAATAAAAAACCTAGAATCTATAAGCCATTCCACCTAACGTTCAGTTTTTGATAGGCAAGAGAACCAAAGAAAGAAAGAATCAAATGATTAATCGAAAAAAACAATTGATATCGATCGATCGATTCTATCGCTACAAAATTCGAACCTTTTCAAAATCAAAAATCTTCCAATTACTTGATTAAGAAAGATTTCAGCTTATTTTTCAAGTTCTTAACTAAATTTCAATGTTTTACAAATATTGGAGTACTTTAACGGTAGATTTATTTAAGAATTTCAGAAAACCGTTCAACAAACCGATGAATCATTGGGAAATCAAAAGAATGAAGTGAAAGGAGAGTAAAATCGTGATACTATTACTCGATTTCCATCATAAATCTCTAATTCTTATTTAATTTAATTGAAAAATGAGCTTTTCTTTGTTATAGCACCGGGTTTTCAGCAAAAACGTGTATTTTTCTGTGAAAATTTTGCTATTTTGAATTTTGAAAGATTGTTTTTAAAGTTCTTCAAGTTCTTAAAGATTCTGTGAAATAAAATGTTAATTGCTTTCGATTTGTGGTGAATCGGTGGGCAAGAGGACGGTCGACAAAGAGCGATCAGAGCGATTGTTATCCTAAAATTTAAGTCAACTTTTTCTTTGATAATGTTTAGAAAAGTTCTACTGACTGGATGAAGTGTTGAGGAGTAAATTTCAAAGAAAATATGTATAATTTTAGAGTTTTATTAAAGGATTCTGGTGAAGAGAGGTTTCTTGAGAGATTTCTTGAGCTAGTTTTCATTAGTACTATAGCTTTTTTAGAGTACTTAGAGCTTTTTAGAGTACTACTCTCTCTAATAGAGTAATGCACCCAGAGCGTTACCTAAATTCCTCGAAATCTCGAGAACCGCTTATCAAAACCTATCGATATGGGGCCGGGAAATGTAGCTGACGATGAGATCTAGTGGGGGATTTGAGTGTTGAGCTTCTGTGAAAGCTTGGAAACAGTAAAATCGTCACCTGATTCCTAAGAAGAAAGAAACACGGGACCGAAAGAAAAAGTTGACCGATCAAGACGAACGCGCAATTACGAGACGTCTTTCCAACACGACGACACCACTCGCCGACACGCCAACACGACGTTCGCAAGGAGATGAAGCTTCCCGGCAACTCGCCAAACTGTGCACACCGTTGTCAAACGATCTTCAATACTCAAATACAAACTCAAGCTCCACGACTTACAAAGGAGCATAAAGCCGCCCGTATAAATTTCGCTCAAAAGAACCAGAAGACCAAATGGGAAGGAGTTGTTTTACTAGTATTTCTTATATATTTTATGTTTAGATTATTTGGAGTGACGAAAAGAAGTTCAACCTTGATGGTGCTGATGGTTTTCGAGGATATTGGATGGATTTCTCATTTTTTTACTTATTAGTTATGTTTATAAATGTTTTTACATTTTCAGATATGCCACTTGGAAAACAACTGGATGTGGTGGAGAAAACACGTATCGATGTGCTCCACACGCTTGGTCACTCAAACAGGGACATTGCTCGTCGCATCGGACGTTCTGAGAAGTGTATTCGCACGTATCTCAAGACCAAAGTGACTCCTAAGAAGGAAGAAACACGGGACCGAAAGCAAAAATTGACCGATCAAGACGAACGCGCAATTACGAGACGTCTTTCCAACACGACGACATCACAAGAGGTTCGAAGAGGTTCGCAAGGAGATGAAGCTTCCGGTCACTCGCCAAACTGTGCACAACGTTGTCAAACGATCTTCAATACTCAAATACAAACTCAAGCTCCACGACTTACAAAGGAGCATAAAACCGGCCGTAATTCTGGGTGCACTACTAGAGAAAATACGGTAATCGGTAAATCGAGTTCATTTTGCTGAATCTTCTAGGTTTTTAGTTAGTTTTAAGGATTTTCTAGTTAATTACAAGAATTTTATAAACCTTAAATGTATCCTGAAAGCTTTATCGACCTTTATAAGCTGATTTGAATCCTTTTTCCTAGTGTCCATCAATTTTGAATACTGCCCGGCTTTCATTTAGATGATCTTTACAAATTCAAAGAACAAAAGCACGCCCAGAGAAGAGTAAAGATCAATGAAAAGCCTTTTTTTCTCGTTTGTTTCATTACAAATTTGATCTACTCACTTGCAAAAAAGCCTTCGGAATGCTGTCTCCATAGTAAATCTTGTTGTTTTCTCGGATCGCTTTGATGCGTTGCAGTTCGATGTATTCTCTGTAAATGAAGTTAGAAAAGCCAGAAAAGTGCACAACTAGGTCTAAGCTTTAAATCAAGCTCTAAATAAGCTCTAAAGCTCTAAATAAAGCTCTAAATCAGCTCTAAATAAGCTCTAAAAGCTCTAAATAAACTCTAAAGCTATAAATAAAGCTTCTCTATAGAAGCATCACGTCATCGCTTCTCAAAAAACCGCTCATATCTCGGCGCCCAGACATTTATTTCTACGCGCTTAGATATCAAATTAAAGTAGAGATAATAGGCAATTTTTTGAGCTATTTCATGTATTTTTAGCTATAACCAGTGCTTAGAAAAAAATGATTGAAAAGTGGCAAAAAATAACCAATTTTTCATCATTTTTTCTAAGCACTGGTTAATGATAGAAACCTGTGTTATATCTCAAAAAATCACGCATCTTCTCTACTTTAATTTGATATCTAAATGCTCAGAAACAAACGTACTCGTGTCGAGATCTGAGTGTTTGTTTGGAGAGTAAATTTAGAAAACCCGACGCTCCTATAGGCTGTTCTATTGGTGTTTTTACGGTGACAATAATTTTTCTTACTCACTTCGTTAACAATTTCGCGTTCGCTTCGGATTCTTTAGCGACTCGGTAGAACTCGGCATCGGCGTTTGCTTTTTCTTTGGCTAAGATTTGTGATTTAAAAAACGTAAAAGAAAAATCACCCAAATGAATCTGATCTTGGAGTTTGTTCACCGTTTTTTCCATTTCTTTTTCGGCGATATTCTGCTTGAATTTCACATCAGCCACTTGTGCCACTTTTTCAGCTTCTAGAAAAGATTGGGGATTGGGGATTGGGATTGAAAATTTGTATTTTAAACCAACCAATAATTGACTTCTTTCGATCAGTTTCTGCCTCTTTTTCAACTACTTTTTGATGCTCGACTGCAACAAGGAGTTTTGTCTGAAAAAGAGAGCAAGTTTTTAGTTTAAAGGTCTGTAGAATTCAATCCTTAAATGTGATTTAAACCTTTTCCGTCTCAATTTCCTCATAATTTGCTTTAATCGCGTCAGGAATTCTCGGCTTTGTGACACGGACTGATTGAACGTAAAGACCCGGAGCGAGAATGTGCAACTCTTCTTGAATTGCACTCTTCAAATTTTCATCGATTTGATCTGAAAGATCTTTATGCATTGGATTTCATTTAGAATTTGAGAAGTTTAATTTACGTTCGCTTTGATCTTAACTTTGAGCAGGAACAAGAACAAGAGCAAGAGCAAGAGCAAGAGCAAGAGCAAGGACAAGGACAAGGACAGGAACAAGAACAAGAACAAGAACAAGATCAAGCTCAAGAGCATGAACAAGAACAAGAACAAGAACAGGAACAAGAACAAGAACAAGGACAAGAAGAGGAACAAGAACAAGAACAAGAACAAGAACAGGAACAAGAACAAGAACAAGAAGAGGAACAAGATCAAGAACAAGAACAAGAGCCAGAGCAAGAGCTTTCAGAGCTCTGGCAAGCTTTTACAGGGTAACCCATTTCTAATACTCCTGCAATTTCTGTTAGACCAAAGCTATTCATTTCTTTTTTAAATAAAGAAAAAAACAAAACCGAACTCTTGTGAAAGTGGGGTTTTCAAAAAGTGCCCTTTTTTTGGTCACTCGCATTTGGCCCTCGAAATTTCTTCAATGGTTCGATCAATTGAAACACGTTTTAGCCTATTTTGTAGAGGAGATTTGCAACTTTCAAATACTTTATAACATTCATCGATATCAGCTTTCTATCGTTGGAAATTGATGAAAATAAATTGATGAAAATGTTGAAATCCGCATTTCTTATGCATGGAGCTAATATGAAAATAAAATTGTTAAGAACTCTTTAAAACAATTATCAATTTTATCATATTGTTAACTCAAAAAAAAATTAAAATAACTTTGATAAAATCTTTTAAAATACATAAAAAATACATAAAAAAAGCCAAATTGATTGAAATTTTTTCCCCAAAAAGTTTCTTAATCTATTTTTTATCAATAATACAATAATATCAACTTAAATAAAAGCTAATCTTAAAAAAGAGATGTTAAAGAATAAGAAAAGCTAAGAAAAGTTAAGAAAAGCTAAGAAAATCTAAGCAAAGCTAAGAAAAGCTAAGAAAAGCTAAGAAAGCTAAGAAGAAAGCTAAGAAAAGCTAAGAAAAGCTAGAGAAAAGCTAAGAAAAGCTAAGAAAGCTAAGAAAGCTAAGCAGAAAGCTAAGAAGAAAGCTAAGAAAAGCTAAGAAAAGCTAAGAAAGCTAAGAAGAAAGCTAAGAAAAGCTAAGAAAAGCTAGAGAAAAGCTAAGAAAAGCTAAGAAAAGCTAAGAAAATCTAAGCAAAGCTAAGAAAAGCTAAGAAAAGCTAAGAAAGCTAAGAAGAAAGCTAAGAAAAGCTAAGAAAAGCTAGAGAAAAGCTAAGAAAAGCTAAGAAAGCTAAGAAAGCTAAGCAGAAAGCTAAGAAGAAAGCTAAGAAAAGCTAAGAAAAGCTAAGAAAGCTAAGAAGAAAGCTAAGAAAAGCTAGAGAAAAGCTAAGAAAAGCTAAGAAAAGCTAGAGAAAAGCTAAGAAAGCTAAGAAAGCTAAGAAAAGCTAAGAAAAGCTAAGAAAGCTAAGAAGAAAGCTAAGAAAAGCTAAGAAAGCTAAGAAAGCTAAGCAGAAAGCTAAGAAGAAAGCTAAGAAAAGCTAAGCAGAAAGCTAAGAAGAAAGCTAAGAAAAGCTAAGCAGAAAGCTAAGAAGAAAGCTAAGAAAAGCTAAGAAAGCTAAGAAAGCTAAGCAGAAAGCTAAGAAGAAAGCTAAGAAAAGCTAAGAAAGCTAAGAAAAGCTAAGCAAAGCTAAGAAAAGCTAAGAAAAGCTAAGAAAGCTAAGAAGAAAGCTAAGAAAAGCTAAGAAAGCTAAGAAAGCTAAGCAGAAAGCTAAGAAGAAAGCTAAGAAAAGCTAAGAAAAGCTAAGAAAAGCTAAAGAAACTTACCAAATAGATCAATATAGACTTGTTGAATGGTGTGTTTACTGCAGAATTGATTGATTTCGTGATGAACCTAGTGATGATTGTTTAGTTGATTCAAAAAAACTCTAAATTCTTACCTTTTGATAAATCAATGGCTTATCATAGTCAACTGTGTAATTCTGGACAATATCGTGAACAGCTTTCTTTTTCAAAATGTTTACAACTTCGATTCGGTCGAAATAGATCATGACACCACCTTGCGTTCCACAAGGAACATTTTCCACTGTGTCTGTTTGAATTGTGATCTAAAAAAGGGAAAAATAAAGAAACCAATGGACTAGAAAGGGTATGTTTACAGTTTTAAGCAAAAAGTACATCATAAAGATCTACCTGAACTTGTTTTACCGTTGTAATATATGGTATTTTCACGTGATAACCCGGATCAGAGATTTCATCCAACAAAGCTCCACCCTGAAAAGTTTAAAGCTTTTCATTTGATGATTTTTGATTTAAACGATGGCTTATTTTGGACTCTAGTTGACTAGAAATAGAAAGAAATAAGTTTAGATAAACTACTTTGTAGACAGAAGTGTACTATAGCTAGATACTGTGTAATGTTGTACTGTAGTGTACTGTAGCTAGATAAGCACCTCTACAAAAATCTACTTTTTTTTTGTCAATTCCTTCATTTCTTTATTAGTAATAGATGTGGTTTTGATTTTTAAGAGCTCACGGTTCTAAAGATTCAAGTATTTCCTTTCTTTCTTTCTTTCTTCCTTTCTTTCTTTCTTTCTTTCTTTCTTTCTTTCTTCCTTTCTTCTTCCCCTTGTCTTTCTTTCTTTCTTCTTCCCCTTGTCTTTCCTTCTTTCTTCTTCCCCTTGTCTTTCTTTCTTTCTTCTCCCCTTTGTCTTTCTTTCTTTCTCTTGGCAATTTAAGGTACCGGATAGCTAACTAGGGAAAGGCATCAAGTCGCATTTTGATACGAGAGCCAGCCTTATAGAATCGGTCATGTTGATTCCGAATATGGAGCTCCAGAGCGCTGTAACGCAAAATATCTGGCATCAAAGTTTAGGCCAATTTCGGTTCTTATAAGCTTTTTCTCTTGTCCTTAAAAACAGAGCTAAGCAATGGATTTGCTCGTCTCCAGAATTTTTTTACCCTAGTTTGAGTCCCGGTTAATTCTTTTCCTTTTTTGAGAAAATGTTTCTGGGAAAAGGATTGATTTATTTCGACTTTTATTAACGGAAGAATGATTAGAAATGATTTAAGAAAATGGTGTTTTTGTTTATAAATGTTTTTTGTTTTTGCTGGAACATTGTTTACGATTCCTGCTTAAACAAAAAAAGTGAATTTCAATACGCGGAATGAAATTTCAATTGTTTTCCATAAAATAGTGGAATAAATTACAAATTTTCTCATTATTTTCTTAAAAAAAAGAATCTACAGAAGAATAAAAGAATAAAAAGTAAAAGTAAAGTAAAAAGTTTCAGTACAGGGTGTCCCAGAATTGCGGTAACCTGTAAGGAGCGGGACTAGAAAGCCAAAATTGACCAAGAACGAAAAGTAAACGAACAAATTTATTCTTTTAACACTATTCAACAGAATAATTCAATTTTTTTCAAAGTGAGATCCCTTAGCGTCGATGCAAGCCTGTAAACGTTTTGGAAAAGCGTCGACGGTGGCGAGAAGGTATTGTGGATCGACGCCTCCCACGCTTTTTGAAGCGCTTTCTTCAACGATTCCACTGTTTTATGTGATTTTGCGCAAGCCTGGGACTCCAAAACACTCCATACAGAGAAATCCATTGGATTGAGATCCGGGGACGAAGGTGGCCATTGGTTGAAACTGATGAAGTCTGGGAAGTTGTTAGCACACCAATCCTGAACCAATTTTGCTTTATGCGCCGGCGCCTCGTCTTGTTGGAAGCACCAAATCCTCTTCCCAAAGTGTTTTTTGCTCCAAGGAAGAAGCTCATTTTTCAAAATATCCAGATAATTCTGCGCATTCACTTTAATGCCCTGCCGAACAAAAAACAACGGCGTCTTGCCGTTGCGTCGCACCTTCTTGATGATGGCTTTGTTGATAACAGATCGTTTGTTACCTCGTCCTTTCCGATCGAAATTGGTGCCCAGTTCCTTGAATCTTGCAATAGTCGTCGAAACCAGCTTCTTTGAGACTTTCAATCGCTTTGAAATATCAATCGCTCGGGTCCCGCCTTTGTGAAGTTGAATGATCGAGTTACGATGAGCAGAAGGCTTCGTCATTCTAAATTTAAAATCAGATTTTGATGTAAACATTAACAAAACATTCAAAAAAAGAGAATAAACCAAAAAAAAGCTAAATCACAGGCAACTCAAAACTCAAAAACGGGCAAAGCAGCGGGGCAGAGCCGGTTACCGTAATTCTGGGACACCCTGTATACTGAAATTCAGAAATCAGTATAGCCGATTCTATAATTCTTTTAGTAGATTTCTCCCGTAGTTCATGAATTCATTTAAATTTGATTTAAAATTAAATTAAGATCACTTTGACTTTGCCTTTTTGCCTAGTCAATGTTAAAGTTATTAAAGTTAAAGCAATTACCGGGAAAGTAAAAGATCGAGACTTCAATTTCCTTTCTATTTTCAGCTGTCAAACTGTCAGCTGTCAAACAGTCAAACTGATATTTTAGTTACTATTGTTATTATTGAATGATTTGTCTATTCTTATGCAAATGTGTTTTGCCCTGTGCTTATCCCTTTTATTGCCGAAATCCTTAGGATTGCCTAGGATCCTTGGGATTGCCTAGGATCCTTGGGATTGCCTAGGATCCTTGGGATTGCCTAGGGTCCTTGGGATTGCCTAGGGTCCTTGGGATTGCCTAGGCCTAGGAGGACAAGTGAGACTACCATTTGAAGTCCCTCCTTCCCCTTACACTCATTTGTAATCTATTCGTCTTATTGTACTACTGTAAATAAAGATACATATCTTCCGGGTCTATGCAACTGCAGTACAGGTCGGTCATTTCACAGGGACTCCCCTCTAATACGTTGGAGGAGTTGAGTTGGGTTGTCGGGGTGTTAGAGATGGCGGGATATCAAAAGGGATCCACTCTCTTTAACTTAACCCAAATTCTAGTCCACATCCGTTTATACCTCTGAACGAATACTAAAAATTTGCTTTTCTTTTCATTTCTTTATTAAATACTGTATGTTTTCTTATGTAAAAACGGAAAAAATGAATTAAATCGATCTCTCGATTGGGAAATCGCAATGAAAATAAGAAAAAGGAAGGAAAAATTGAAAAAAATCACCAATTCTCTTTTAATTTTTGACAAATGACGCAGATAAAGGATATTTTTGGAAAGAAAATTGTTCGAAATGAGTCAATAAAGTCCAGTCTCGACAGGAAACTGGAAAAGTTCTGAAAAGGATGGAAAGGAAGCAATTACCCGGAAAGTAAAAGATCGAGAGTTCAATTCTCTCTATGAATCTGCTTATTCTTGTCGATTTCTTTATTAAATACTGTAGTTTACCAGTTCAAGCTGCTAAACAAACCCTGTAATAAATCCCAACGGATCCTTCGTCGATTTTGTGAATTCCTGAATAAATAGTGGCAATGAAGAGAATAAAGATGCTGATCACTAACAGAAAGACTCCAAGCGTAATATGTTTTCGATTTTCCTTTAGAAAACCTAAAGATAAGCAAGTTTTTCCCTTTAGAACAATAGTTTGCCAAAAAGTCTCCGTTTACATCTTGTTCTTTTACACTTTTCGCATGAAAACATACTCTTTTTAGTGCACTAAATTTGCTTAATTTTTGGAAATTGAGTGCACCAGAAAGGATGGGTTTCGTCTAACACAAGAGCAAGAAATTATTTGAATGGGTTGGGGCTAGGAAAAGTTGAAAGACGTCTAACACAAGACGTTCCCTATCTCAACAAATTTGGTTCCCTATCTCAACAAATCTGGTTCCCTATCTCCACAAGTTGGTTCCCTATCTCCACAAATTTGGTGCCCTATCTCAACAAATTTGGTTCCCTATCTCCACAAATCTGGTTCCCCATCTCAACAAATCTGGTTCCCCATCTCAACAAATCTGGTTCCCTATCTCAACAAATCTGGTTCCCTATCTCAACAAGTTGGTTCCCTATCTCAACAAATCTGGTTCCCCATCTCAACAAATCTGGTTCCCTATCTCAACAAGTTGGTTCCCTATCTCAACAAATCTGGTTCCCCATCTCAACAAATCTGGTTCCCTATCTCAACAAATCTGGTTCCCTATCTCCACAAGTTGGTTCCCTATCTCAACAAATCTGGTTCCCCATCTCAACAAATCTGGTTCCCTATCTCAACAAATCTGGTTCCCTATCTCAACAAATCTGGTTCCCTATCTCCACAAGTTGGTTCCCTATCTCAACAAGTTGGTTCCCTATCTCAACAAATCTGGTTCCCCATCTCAACAAATCTGGTTCCCTATCTCAACAAATCTGGTTCCCCATCTCAACAAATCTGGTTCCCTATCTCAACAAGTTGGTTCCCTATCTCAACAAATCTGGTTCCCTATCTCCACAAGTTGGTTCCCTATCTCAACAAATCTGGTTCCCCATCTCAACAAATCTGGTTCCCTATCTCAACAAATCTGGTTCCCTATCTCAACAAGTTGGTTCCCTATCTCAACAAATCTGGTTCCCTATCTCCACAAGTTGGTTCCCTATCTCAACAAGTTGGTTCCCTATCTCAACAAATCTGGTTCCCCATCTCAACAAATCTGGTTCCCTATCTCAACAAATCTGGTTCCCTATCTCCACAAGTTGGTTCCCTATCTCAACAAGTTGGTTCCCTATCTCAACAAATCTGGTTCCCCATCTCAACAAATCTGGTTCCCTATCTCAACAAATCTGGTTCCCTATCTCCACAAGTTGGTTCCCTATTTTAACAATTTAACAAAATTTTGGAATTATTTAACTTTCAAATTCAGCGTGACAGGGCAAAGTTCGGCAATTTTAGTGATGTTGAGGCCTTCAACCAGCTTAAAAAAAGAATTTTTGTTTTTAGATTCTCCCCAACCCAATATTGAAATTGAAATTTTAAAGATGATTCAATGCACTAGATTCAGCGCGTTTACAGAAAACGTTGAAGTTTAGCTGGTTTTAAACGTGATTTTAGTGGTTTTAAACGTCTTTTCAAAGAAAACAAGCTCTAACTCAGTGCACTAGGCTTCATGCGTTTACAAAGAAACTCACCGTTCTCCATTTGAATATAAATTTAGATAAAAATTGAATAAAGAAAGAATAAAGAAAGAACAAAAAAGATTTCAAACAGATTTCTTTTATTTTTCTTTATTGGGGAGTGGCCTTCAACCTGTTTAAAAAGAGAATTTTTGTTTTCTTTTGCAAAAACGGAAAAAAATGAATTGAATCGATCTCTCGATTGGGAAATCGCAATGAAAATAAGAAAAAGGAAGGAAAAATTGAAAAGATCGTCAATACTCTTTTACTCTTTGACAGATGACGCAGATAAAGGATGTTTTTGGAAAGGAAATGGTTCGAAATGAGTCAACAAAGTCCAGTTTTGACAGGAAATAGTTCTGAAAAGGATCAAATTCCTGAAATCATCGCCGAGTAATCGATTTTTGAAGAGTTTTCTGTAGAAATCAAATACAAAATCGATAGATCTAATAAAATGGAAATTTCCAATCGATTCCCCGACCCTGAAAACCCCTGGGTACAGCTGAATATCATTTTTTGTGCCATTGCAAAAGAGGAGATCTTTATGTAAATGGCCGGCGATGCGTTCTTTCTGCGGCTCGGTAATCGCTCACCGTCTGACACAAGCTGCCGATAGATACCTGGTTCTTTTCGGGATGCTCTAACCCTCAGCGACTCAAATTTCTCCATTTTTCAACGTCACCATGCCCAGATTTTAATTTCTTTTGTGTTTTTCTTAATTTTCTGTCGTGTTTTTATTTTAGTGATGGGCAGAAGGAGGAGCTTTAAGAGAAGAAAAAAAGAAAACGATAAAAGAGTTTGGATTCAAGAGGGATTTGATGAGTGCCGAAATTCAAGTCGGCCGGAACATTTGCTACAAAAAATCTATCGTTTTCAATGATATCTTTTATGATATAATCAATTTTTGGCTTAAATTTGGTTTTCTTTTGGCGGGTTCTTGTAGAAATCCTCATTGTGTTAAGCCAAAAACATGTGGGTTATGATCTGGGTCAAAAAAAAAGAAAATCCCTCCTCGCACTCAATCCTTTCATACCCGATTTGGCATGAACAGTACCGTGAACTAGACTTCGGAAAACAAAACAAAACTTAACCAAAACCAAAACTACCAAAACCAAAACCAAAACTAACCAAAACTCGCGAATATCTCGCGACTGGGAGGAGCTAGCGAAAATCTGTTTGCAGATTTGAAATCAGCATCCAAAAATCTATCCCATAGGCTATTTTTTGTTTCGAAATTTCGAGGTCGTGTTTTGGTCCTTTTTTCGACCGCGAGATTTTGTGGAGTGAGAAAAAGTGAAAGGCTAATTTGCATTTTACATTAAAATTTGCATTTTGCAATTTTAAATTGACATTTTACAATTTTAAATTTACATGTTAATTTATATGCAAATTGAGTTTTGGTTTGTTTTGGTTTTGGTTTGTTTTGGTGTTTTGGTTTTGGTTTTGGTCTGTTTTGGTTTTGGTTTTGTTTGCCGAACTCTACCGTGAACAGTACCGTGAGCAGTACCGAACAGTACCGTAAACAGTACCGTGAACAGTACCGTGAACAGTACCGTGAGCAGTACCGAACAGTACCGTAAACAGTACCGTGAACAGTACCGTGAACAGTACCGTGAGCAGTACCGAACAGTACCGTATTTCTGTACTTAATGGTATGCTTTTTTGTGTGTGTGTAAAAACAGTAATTATATATTTATTTATATAAGCTTTATTTGGCACTATCAATCAAATGAGATCACAAGCAAAGAGAAAAAATGCTGAAGAAGAGAATGGAAAAAAGTTTTCAAATTAATTCCAAGTCGAAAAATTCGCTTGTAAATGGCCAAAAAAAGATGAATCACAGGGAAAAACGAGGATTTTCATTTAAACAAAAAAAACAACAGATAAATTTGTATTAAAATAAGGAACTTTAAAAGTAAAATTGGCAAAGCTTTTTGCCAGAAAATGAAATGAAATAAAATGAAATAAAAGAAAAGAAAATGAAATGAAATAAAATGAAAGAAGAGAAAAGAAAATCAAATCCAATCCAATCCAATCCAATCCAATCAAATCAAATCAAATCAAATCAAATCCAATCAAATCCAATCAAATCCAATCAAATCCAATCAAATCCAATCAAATCCAATCAAATCAAATCCAATCCAATCCAATCAAATCAAATCCAATCAAATCAAATCTAATTTCTTTCTAAAGTTTCTTATCATCTACAGAGTCGGTGAGTTGGAGAACTGTGGAGAGTTCACGACCGGAACGAGCTTCACCCTAAAAACAAAGATAAGATTCTAAAGAATTCTAAGATTTCCAAAAAACCATCTAAAGTAAATGATAATTTTGAGAATTATTTAGTTTTCTAGCTGTTTTCTGGCTTTCTGGCTATGCCATGATAGCCAAGAAAGCAATTTGATTTTGATTTACTTGAATGAAAGCCTTTGGAATGCTGTCTCCATAGTAGATCTTGTTGTTCTCTTTGATTGCGTGAATGCGTTGCAATTCGATGTATTCTCTAAAAGTTGAAGAGATTATTTGAATAGAATTGGGTTTCCAGTTATCCCTGGAATAGAATAGGATTCCGAGTTTTGCCTTTCAAAAAACAAACTTCGTGAGCAATTTCTGATTCGCGTCAGCCTCTTTGGCGATTTTGTAGAACTCGGCGTCGGCGCGGTTTCGTTCCTTAGCTGAAGTAAATGATAATTTTGAGAATTATTTAGTTTTCTAGCTGTTTTCTAGCTGTTTTCTGGCTTTCTGGCTATGCCATGATGCCAACAAAGCAATTTGATTAGTCCTTAGCTAAAAATCGAGTTTAGACATTCCAGCTTATCTCTGAAATCAACTCTATACTATATATGAAGCAGGAGAGACGTCTCTGTCTGTCTGTCTGTGGGCAAACGGAACGCTCCGTAATTACGTTTGCTCTATCGGCTAAAAGGCAAAGTATTCAGCTTTTACGCGTGATACTTTGCTCCCAGGGGTTTTCGACTATGGGGAATCTGCCATTTTTAAAAAGGGGTACAGGGCTTTATATGGGTTACGGTAGTTTTAGTCATTTGAATGAATCTGAAATCAACTCAAAACTTCTTTCAACTTATTCATTTTCTTATACAAACCCAAATGAATCTCATCCTGAAGTCTGTTCACGGTTTTCTCCATTTCTTTCTCGGCAATCACTTGTTTATGCTTAACAGCAGCGACTTGAGCGTGTTTTTCGGCTTCTTAAATGAAATTTATAGTTTTATATATATATATATAAAGATATCTAAAGCTTTTTAATGACTTCACTCACCAATCAGCGCTCGTTTCCGATCCGTTTCCGCCTCTTTCTCAACGACTCTTTGATGCTCAATAGCAACGAGAAGTCTTGTCTAAATTCATAACAATATTTTCAATAATTAAGCATATTATCTAGTAATTAATAGCTACGGTCTTTTCCTTCAACTTTTACAGTACCTTTTCCGTTTCCATTCTTTCATAGTTCTGGCGAATCGCGTCGGGGATTCTCGGTTTTGTGACACGAACCGATTGAACGAAAAGACCTGGAGCCATCACTTGAAGTTCCATTTGCAATGAATGCTTGAGATTTTCATCAATTTTGTCTAAATTGGTGGAATTTAAATAACCAAGTGACTGTAGCTTATCAAAGGATACTTTATAGGTGAACAGTACCGTAAATAGTACCGTAAATAGTACCGAACAGTACCAAACAGTTCCGTGAACAGTACCGCACAGTACCGAACAGTTCCGTGAACAGTACCGAACAGTACCGAACAGTACCGAAAACAGTACCGTGAACAGTACCGTAAACAGTACCGAACAGTACCCGAACAGTACCGAACAGTACCCAACAGTACCGAACAGTACCAAACAGTTCCGTGAACAGTACCGAACAGTACCGAACAGTACCGAAAACAGTACCGTGAACAGTACCGTAAACAGTAGCGTAAACAGTAGCATAAACAGTGCCGTAAACAGTACCGAACAGTACCCAACAGTACCGAACAGTACCAAACAGTTCCGTGAACAGTACCGTGAACAGTACCGCAAACCGTACCGTTTGTCACTAGTAAAGAAAAGTACAGCTAAAGTTGACTTAAACCCTTTGGTTTCAAGTTTTTCAAGAATTTCTATCTTGACTCACCGAAAAGATCGATGTAAACCTCTTGAATGGTGTGCTTGCTGCAGAATTGATTAATTTCGTGATGGACTTTTTGATGAATCAACGGTCTATCATAGTCAACTGTGTAGTTTTTGACAATTTCGTGAACTGAAAACAGGATTTGATTAGATTAGAAGAAAACTCACAAGAAATCACAAAAAGCAATTTGGCTTACCGTAAATACAAAATACTTAAATATCTAAAAGAACGCGACCCCCCTAATGGGCGTACAGACGCGTAGTCTAGCTTTGAAGGTCCCGTTCTCCGCGCTGCTTTAAGCTACAATATTCGTTTGGGTATCAAATGATAGCTCTTGAAATCTACTATTTTTTTGATATCAAAATTTTCTTTGGGAGATATCTAGAAGCTGAGAAAACAATGATTTTCTGAAAAGAAGTTAGACTATTTGATTGTATTTGAGTATTTATCGTATATTATACTTTATTTTAATGATTCTAAAATTCTTTTCTAAAAACAAGGAACATTGAGAACATTTCTAGATATCTGAATCTAAATCCAACTAAAGAAACACACCAAAAACCGGAGTTAAACTTGAGGACTTGTAAGAGAAAAAGTTCTATCTAAAACGCTTACTTTTGCTCAAAGATATTCAAGCAAAAGGAAGCTTTCAATGCACCAGAAGGGATACGTTTACAAATTTCAGCACAAAGTACAAGCATTTCCAGCCAACCTTACCAGCATTTCGATTCAAAATGTTGACGACTTCAATGCGATCGAATTCAATCATCACTCCTCCTTGAGTACCACAAGGCACATTTTGAATCTCATCAGTTTGAATGGTAATCTAGAAATAGTATTTAACTTTAAAAGCCTTTTTGGAGTTAATTATTGATCACTTTTGAATTTTTAAAATCTCTCTTTTCTTTCCGCTTATCAATCATTTTGTTTCCGCGATCAAAGTCTAGTTTTTCAATGAGATCATTGTTCAATCATTGTTCAATCAGATCTTGTGTCTTAATCGATTTTGTAAACAATTTTAAAAAAGTTAAAAATGAATTTTTAAGTCAATTGTTGATCACTTTTGAATTCTGTTGATCACTTTTGAAATGATTGATAAGAGAAAAGAGTAGAAAGGTTTAACCTTCTCTCCCCTTTTCTGCTCTGCTCTAACCTTTCTCCTCTTTTCCCTTATCAATCATTTTACTTCCGCGATCAAAATCTAGCAAATATTATTGTTCGTTTTCGATTTTGTAAACAATTACAAAAGTTAAAAATGAAAATTGATACCTGAACATCTTTGGCAATGGTCAACCAAGGTAATTTGAAGTGATAGCCGGGACCGACCACGTCGTCGAGTAGAGCTCCTCCCTAAAGAAGACTGTTAACTATATAGAAGTTAAATAAAGTAGCTGTAGCCCTGGTTACTGGACTCGGATACGTTCTAGACTTGATCTTGCGTCTGAATCTGGTCTAACTAGCCTAACTACTAGACCTGGCCTGATGCTTGGCCTGGTCCTGGGTACCTGGCTTGGTCTGGGCCTCTGCAGCCCTGGTACCTGGTCATGGCCTGATCTGATACATGGAACTGAACCTGACCTGGTACTTGAACATGTAGCCTGACTTGGCCCGGTATTGGACCTCTGGGTGTAACCCTGGCATCTGGTCATGGCCTGATCTGATACCTGGACCTGGACCTGACCTGGTACTTGAACATGTAGCCTGACTTGGCCTGGTATTAAACCTCTGGATGTAGCCCTGGTACCTGGCTAGCTTGATACCTGGATTTGGACCTGGACCTGGCCTGGTACCTCAACATGTAGCATGACTTGGCCTATTGTTGGACTCAACTTGGTACCTAGCCTGGATAAGGTCTAGTTCTAGCCTGATACTTAGATTAGACCTGTACCTAAACCTGTCTTTATAACAGTCTAAACCTGGCTTAAGTATAAGAATATCATTAATTTCCTTACCCTATAATAAACAGCAACATGTCCCTCTTCAACATGATGAATGCACGTGTAGACACCGGAAATGACAATGATTGTGACGAGAACGATGAAGAAACATCCGGCACCAAGGTAGAGTTGACGTTTCGAGGTTTCCGGTAGGAAAACTGAAATGAATCATTGGATATTTTTAGATATCCGGTTATCAAAGGGAACTTTCTATTGCAATGCTATTTTTCTGGTTCACTAAAAATAGCTGACAAGCCAGAGTTTTGCCTGATTCGTAGGCTTGGATCTGGTATTGGTTGGATCAAATTTATTATTTGGACAAGCCTACCTAAACCCGATTGTTACCTAGTCTGATACTTGACTCTTGAGTTGGACACGTGGATCTTTTATAGATTGGGGCTGGGAATACAAAACATGGTCGGGATTTGAACCTACGACCTCTCGCTTATCTGGCGAACACTCTACCAATGAGCTACACCGACACGTATCCGATTGCCGAGAGTAAACTTATGGCTTACTCTTGTATTAGACCTGATAACGGGCCTAGTACAAGACAGGACACTTGGCTGGAAACTATTTTGAAGCTAGCCTAGAGAATGTCTAATCTGTAATGGTTTTGGCAAACTAATTGTCATTTAACATTGTAATTTTTGGAATTTAAGACAAAAGAGCTACCGTAAGTTGTCTAGAAATGGTTTTGGCAAACTAATTGTCATAATTAAAGTGTCAGAAGTTAGAAAGTATAAGTAAAGTATAGAATTTAAGTATAAAAGTATAAAAGCTAAAAAGCGGACAAGTACCGGATTCTCTCTAATAGTAGTTTAATAGTAGTTCTCTAATCTCTCTAATATCTCTCTCTACTGAGCCGAGTTGGTGACGATTTTACGGTTTCCAAAGCTTTTGCAGAAGTTCAACACTCAAATCCCCCACTAGATCTCATCGTCAGCTACATTTTCCGACCCACATCGATAGGTTCTGATAAGCGGTTCTCGAGATTTCGAGGAATTTAGACGACGATCAGAGTGCACTACTAGAGAAAATACGGTAAACCAAAAATGGATTAATGAGACTGAAATTGTCCTTTTTCTTCATTAAAAAGTAAACTACCGTGAATAGTACCGTGAAGAGTACCGTAAATAGTACTGTGTACAGTACCGAACAGTACCGTGAACAGTACCGTGAAGAGTACCGAACAGTACCGTGAACAGTACCGTGAACAGTACCGTGAAGAGTACCGAACAGTACCGTGAACAGTACCGTAAACAGTACTGTGAACAGTACCGTAAACAGTACCGCAAACCGTACAGTGAAGAGTACCGTAAATAGTACTGTGAACAGTACCGTAAACAGTACTGTGAACAGTACCGTAAACAGTACCGCAAACCGTACAGTGAAGAGTACCGTAAATAGTACTGTGAACAGTACCGTAAACAGTACTGTGAACAGTACCGTAAACAGTACCGCAAACCGTACCGTGAAGAGTACCGTAAATAGTACTGTGAACAGTACCGTAAACAGTACTGTCAACAGTACCGTAAACAGTACTGTGAACAGTAGCGTAAACAGTACTGTCAACAGTACCGTAAACAGTACCGAAATGGATTAATTGTAACTGAAATTGTCCTTTTTCTTCTTTAAAAAGTAAACTAGCTTTGTTAGATTTGTTTAAAATTTTAAAATTTAACCAAAAGTATAGAAAAACTGAAGAAAGACTAGGAATTCTTGCCTCGATTCTGCCCATTGACTCTCGTTGGTTCTGACTCGACCAGAGCATCGTTTTCGTTTTTCATTTCCATTCAAGGAAACTATTAAGAAGATAAAACAACTAGAATAAAATTAGAATAAAACTAGAATAATCAAAAATAATATAAACTTTGAAAAAAAGAAAATGAGATTTTCGTTTACTTTTCCCCTTTTTTTTCCCGAGAGAAAAATGGGTGGAGCAACTCGATAAAAGAGTGCTTTTTTCGCGTTATTGCCCCCTCAACTTGTATTTTTTTTGTCAAAAAGGAAAAATCAAGTTTCCCCTTGAAATTCAACTTGTAAATAGAAGAGAGTAAAGTGATTTTTTTAGAAAACACTCGATTTTGTAAACTCTACAAGCTTTTGCAAAAGTTAGTAAACATTTGATGATAAGTGGCCAAGTCTGAGCCAATAGCTGATGCCATTTATGAAATCGTTTCAAAAAAAAGAACAATTGTCTTAAGAATCTCTTTATTAGGACGTTAAGAAGAGATTCGATCGCTAGTTCAAGCTGATTTCGCTAAAGAGCCATTTCTGAAAGCCATTTCTGATGTTTCTGAATTAAGAATCTCTTTATTAGGTCGTTAAGAAGAGATTCGATTGCTTGTTCAAGCCGATTTCCCTAAAGTGCCATTTCTGAAAGCCATTTCTGAAAGCCATTTCTGATGTTTCTGATGTTTCTGATATTTCTGATTGTCTTGAGATAAAATTAGCCTTTACTTTGTGATCATTTAAAATCTAAACAAATCCAACAAATCCAAAGCTAAACCTCAATTCAATTCTAAATAAATAATAGATTTCTCGAATCTTTGACCCCATCAACTCATTCCTTTAAGTCTTATTGATCTATAAACATTCTCTTTTACCAAAAATGAACACCCATTCCTGCTAAGTGAGCGGTTTTTTCAAGGTTAACCTTGAGAATTTAGCCTTTCGAAAAAACTAAGATTGCTTTGGGATTAAATCAATTTAATAAAAAGAAAGATTGCGAATTTTTCTCTTACCAATTGTAAAATACTTACTTGATGATTTTGGGAAGTAAATAAAAGGTAAAACTTGGGAGTAAAGCTTGGGAGTAAAGCTTGGGAGTAAAGCTTGGGAGTAAAGCTTGGGAGTAAAGCTTGGGAGTAAAGCTTGGGAGTAAAGCTTGGGAGTAAAGCTTGGGAGTAAAGCTTGGGAGTAAAGCTTGGGAGTAAAGCTTGGGAGTAAAGCTTGGGAGTAAAGCTTGGGAGTAAAGCTTGGGAGTAAAGCTTGGGAGTAAAGCTTGGGAGTAAAGCTTGGGAGTAAAGCTTGGGAGTAAACCTGGGAGTAAACCTGGGAGTAAACTTGGGAGTAAAGCTTGCCAGTAAAGCTAAGGTTATGGGTATGCCTCTGAGGTATGGTATACCCGAGTTATGGGTAAACCTGGGTTATGGGTATACCTGGGTATCTTGGTGATTGAAAAGCTCCCTTTTAAAGCTTATCTCTCTCTTTTTACTTTTCATAAGACTTGTGGTTTATTGTTTTAAGCTTTTGTTTTCAAAATTTTGCTTCGACAATAAAAGATGGCTTAACAAAACTCGCTTTTTCGCTAAAACTCGCTTTTTTTACAAGATTTCTCACAGGCATTTCGTCTTTTCATTCATTTTTCGAATTCAGCACATTTTTCTGTGTTGAATGGGTATTGAAACGTAAAATAAAGATAGCTATAACGATAGCCAAGCCAAGCAAAGCAAGACATTCTTTGCCCTTTCAAATCAAACAAATCTTTTGCTTTGATTACCCACATGTGTTTGAAAGTGTGCCTCCTTGTTGTTGAGTGTAGGTGGTTCCTCCAGCTTCTCCTCCTTTAATCGGTTCCAATTTCGAGAAGCTCGCTCTCGGCGATGCTTCCATATCCTCAAAGCTAGAAATGCAATATTTAAATGAGTCAAAAATTCGAGAATGATTTCGAGAGTGCTAAAAAGCGAAATTGTTAAGAAACTTGGGTTTAAAAATCGAAATTTATAAAGAAAACTACCTCTGCATTTAACGGCTTTTCAATAATTAAAGAAGAAAAACAAGAAAAATAGTATAATAGAGTGTTTAGGGAAGTGTTAGAGAAAAGGCAAAATTCTGAGTTTTTTCCTGCCTTTTCTCTAGTTTTAAACAAAAGGAAAAGGGGGAAAGATTGCATTTTGCAAGTTTAATGTGTTCAAAAGAATAGCTGAAGATCGATTAGTTTTGAAATAGAAAAATATTAGAAAAAGATAAACAAGATAGCTTTGCAAAAGCAAAATTTTCACTTCTATTGGGTTGGTGAATTGAAGACTGCCGGCTATTGTCATCTGTCCCAGTTTGAGCATTTTCTTCAAAAGAAACCCATTTTGGTGTCAATGGAAAAGTTGTAGAGAATCAAAAATCAAGCTTATAGCCAAATTTCCAAAAAGATGCACTTAGTATTGATGTCAGCTTTAGGATGAGCTATAAAACGTCAAAATTGGACAAATTCAAGGCAGCTTCTTGCTTAAGCGAGTGGAGTCTCTGTGGATTCTCTGTGAATTTATAACCGACAAGTAGCAGATATTCTTTTGAATCTAGCTTTAAAATAAAGTACATATACAAAAATAAGGTTGAGTTAACAAAAAGGAAGACCAGTTCTAAAGAACTTTCTTAGCCAAGCTCGCATTTGTAAAAGCGGAGCTTAAAAAGCATGAATTTTATAGTAATTAACTCTAAAAACATATTAATACAGAAAAAGACGAAAAAAAGACGAAAAAAGGACGGAAAAAGACGAAAAAAGGACGGAAAAAGACGGAAAACGATGATTTTTAGAGATCCCAAATTCGAATTCAACTGTTTTCAAGATGTTTTCAAGAGCATTGCTCGGTTAGGATTGTCAAAATCATTCAAAAAATGTTCTATTCTATGTAAAATTACATAGATTTTACGCTTAATTCTTGTTTTTCAGCTTACAAACCCAAAAAGATGCATTAAGTGCAACAGTATAAAGTCCACATCCTGTAAAACTATTTAGAAAAAGAATTTACATACAGTAAAAAGCATTAAATAGCATTAAATAGTTTTAAAAAGCTTTAAATAGTTTTAAATAGCTTTAAATGGCTTTAAATGGCTTTAAATAGCTTTAGATGGCTTTAAATATCTTTAAATAGCTTTAAATAGCTTTAAATATCTTTAAATAGCTTTAAATATCTTTAAATAGCTTTAAATAGCTTTAAATATCTTTAAATAGCTTTAAATATCTTTAAATATCTTTAAATAGCTTTAAATATCTTTAAATAGCTTTAAATATCTTTAAATAGCTTTAAATATCTTTAAATAGCTTTAAATATCTTTAAATATCTTTAAATAGCTTTAGATGGCTTTAAATAACTTTAAATAGCTTTACTATTCTAAAATTAGCATACATTTGTGATGCATGAACCATATGTGATCAGCGGTGAAATGGAAAGAGAAAGGGTTGGTTGAATGGGTAAGAGGTGGGAAGAGCCAACCCTATCGATTCTTTTCTCTTTTCCTCTTCTCTTTTCCTCCATTTGACCACAAAAGAGGCCAAAACCCAAAGGAAAACATTGGCAATTTACTCGTTTTTCTTTTAAACCCCATTCCCCTTTGGAACCTCATCAATTTCGTTAACAAAAGTGAACTTTAAAAAATATGGAGACATTTTTAAAAAACTTGTGAATTAAGGGATTAATTTGAATGATCAAGCTGAATGGAATGATTAAGAACTTTTAAAAAAACTTGAAGATTATGATAATTAAGCAAAATTCGCAAAATTATGATAATTTAGCAAAATTTAAAGCACATTTTCTTATCAAAACTTTAGACGCTTATAACTCTTGACAGATTGTCATTTGGAAAAGACGGAATATAGATTTGGAATCAGCATCAAATTCTGCGTCGAATGGTATAGATCGCTTAGCATTTAGCTCAGCCAATCCCTTGTTAGTCACCAGTTTTTCCATTTAAATCATTTTCTTTCTTTTGAGCACTAATTCTATATGAGGTATCGCTCTGGAAGCGAGCGCTGTACCACTCGGGCCACGACTGCACTGAAGCCTGCTCCGCAAAGAGGCCACTAAGACCCAAACAACCATATTTTTCTAACAAAACTTTCGACAAAACTTTAGACGCTTAAAACTCTTGACAGATTGTCATTTAGGAAAAACGGAATATAGATTTGGAATCAACATCAAATTCTGCATCGATTGGAATAGATCGCTTAGCATTTAGCTAAGCCAGTCCCTTGTTAGTCACCAGTTTCTCCATTTCGACGCTTATAACTCTTGACAGATTGTCATTTGGAAAAAACGGAATATAGATTTGGAATCAGCATCAAATTCTGCATCGGTTGGAATAGATCGCTTAGCATTTAGCAAAGCCAGTCCCTTGTTAGTCACCAGTTTTTCCATATTAAATCATAAATTCAATTAAATTTGATAAGATCTTATGCTTATTTTCAGAGGAAAAGACCAAAAAAACAAAAACTAAAGACAAGGAAAATCGTAAAGTTTCTATAGCTGACCACTGCTTTTCTACTCACTTTTCTCTTATCAGAAAAGACCTAAAAATAAAAGACTTTGACGTCATTTTCTAGCAAACTTTAGTCTTTTGCTTGGTTATTACGTTTCTCGAGCAAAGGAATTGAGTGTCGAAATTTAACCACAAAAGCTGAGTCATCAAATATCGTTTTTCAAAAAAGTCCAATTTATTTTGACGCAAATTGCTTTTTGGTTAATTTGCTAGAAAATTTGCAATCAAGTTTTTGCAATTTGAGCTTTTTTCTTTTGGATTTAAACGCTTTAGTCTTGAAAAGTTACACTAATAAACAAATAGCAAATTAACGAAACAAATTGCTTTAAAATTGTTAAAGGCATTCATCCTGATCCCCTTTTATTCTAGTATCTTTGATTTCGGCTCTCTAACCTCCAGAAGAAGGCCTTTTCTCATACGCTAACTTCTCACAGTTTCTTTTTCAAACGAGTTCTGAAATTGTGGAGCCTTTTACCCCCTTATCTTCGTAATATTTCAAATTTGCATTATCATCGATTTAGTAGAACGCTGCCTTATCATCGATTTAGTAGAATGCTTTAAAGTTGTTCAAGGCATTCATCCCGATCCCCTTTTTTCTTGGTCTCTTTGAATTCGGCTCTCTACGGGGCCTCTACGGGGCCTCTACAGGGCTTCTACGGGGCCTCTATGGGGCCTCTACAGGGCTTCTACAGGGTCAGAAGAAGGCCTAATACGCGAACCTTTCGTTTCCTCTAAGCTCTCATAGTTTCTTTTTTAATCGAGTTATTAAATTGGGGAATCTTTTACCCCCTCATCTTCGTAATATTTCAACCTTGCCTAGATTTAAAGTCGCAATTTCTGATTGACTGCTCTCTGGTTCTTTCTTCAGGTTTCTTTTATCTTTTGGGTGTGTTTTGAGTGGTGTTCTGGGTGATTATTGTGATCTTGTTTTGTCTCTATTCAACTCAATAAAGCATCGAGATATTATTTAGTTTTAAAACTGAATCTGAACTAAACTTACTGAAAAAAGAGCTGCTTGCAGATAATTATCGAGTTGAGGCACTACTCAATTAAAAGTAAATCTAAAAATAAAAGTCCTTTTAACTTTTCCTCTTTTATTTAGCTATAGGATTTTGAAATCTCATTTGAAAATTTGAAGAGAAAGTAAAAAAGTTTTCAAATTTGAAACTGCTTTTGAAAATGTTTTGTGGTGGCCTAGAAATGTAAACAAATCCTTTCTGGTGTACCGAATTCTTCATTTCTGCAAGATTTGAGGCAAAGAATGAGAAAGTAAATGCACTAGAAGGGGTGTGTTTCCAAACATTTAGATCCCAGCTGTTTTTTTTGTGCTTGCGCACAGAATTCTGAACTTTCTGAACTTTCTGAACTTTCCTGGAGGCTAGAGAGCCGAAATCGAAGATACTAGAATAATAGAATAATGCCAGGATGAATGCCTTTAACAACTTTTGAGGCCTTTAACAACAAGCGTTCCAATAAATCGAAAAATGCTTTGATCTTATGGGGAAAATGATGAATTGAATGATGGTGTGCCAGAAGAGGTGCGTTTACATGATTGATAAAGCACTCTCTAACTCTAAATGGGTGCGCCATAAGGGGTGTGTTTACAGCTAGAAAAAGTGGGCACAAAGTACAAGCGAGGAGCGAGTTTAAGGAAATATTCAAAGATGAATTGAATATAGTATAAAGATCTGAATTTTTAGGTTAAACCTAGGTTTCTAGGTTTCTAGATGTCTAGGTTTCTAGATTTCTAGGTTTAAGGTAAAAAATTTAAGCTGTAAATAGATGAGAGAAATGTTTCGTAATAGCAGGCGTTGATTCATTGGGAAAAAGGGGGAAAAGGGGAGGAAAGGGGAAGAAGGGAAGAAGGGAAAAGGGAAGAAGGGGAAAGGGGAAAGGGGAAGAAGGGGAAAAAGAGAAAAAAGGGGAGGAAAGGGGAAGAAGGAAAAAAAAGGAAAATATGGGGAAAATATGGGGGAGAAGGGGGAAAAAGGGGGAAAATATGCCAGGGGGAAGGGAAAACAATAGAGAAAAAGGCGAAAAATGAAAAGAGCTCTCGACGTCGCTAGGCATACAAAAATAGCTAAAAGATTTCTAAAAATAGAGTGCTAAACCCAATATGCTGCGAAATTTTCAGTTTTTGGCTTTTATGAGTCATCGGAGATGTGTATTGGAAAATAAATTTATTGCATTTCCGCTGGAAATTCTTTTTAGTTGAGACATCAAGGGGATTCTCGGGAGTTAAGGCAGTCTTTGGGCATTTTGAGCAGAGCTTATAGAAGCGGCTTTTGAATGAATAGCAGAGCCAATAGAAGCGGCTTTTGAATGAATAGTTACACATTGAATATCCATTTCTTTATCTATTAGATTGGTAATTGATAAATAATAAATAATTGGTAATTGATTCCTTTTCGGTACAAATTTGGTTGCTTTTCGGTACAGATTTGATTCCTTTTCTCTACAAAGAGAACTATTAGGTTGGCAAGTTATAAACGATCGTTTTTGGGTAATGTGTTTTCTGAAACGTTTTCTGAAAAAACGGTTTATCCAATCAAAAAACGGTTTGCTTTATTCAAAAGCCCTATCCTTAATCTACAAAATGGCTTTTTCGAATTCTTGGAAAAATGTTTTATTTTACTAGGGATGCTTTTGGATTTACACCACCATAGCAAAAAGTTGAGCCGCAGCCGGATCTGAGTCGGATCTGAGCCGGATCTGAGCCGGATCTGAGCCGGATCTGAACAAAAGAGGGAGAGCTTGTCCCACTATCCACCAGGTCACGAACTCATGTTTAAAACCTCTGTAGAACTCTTATAACTCGTGGGTGCGCGGTTTCGTGGATGCCCAATTTTGGTGTAAACTTTGAAGCTAAATATCTCGAAATTTTAGAACCATCATCCCCATCGGAAACAAAAAACTGATCAAAATGTGCTAGGTCTTGACCCAAAACCGAGATGTAAATCCAAAAGCATTCCTAGTAAACCTAACAGTCAATATTAGGTTGGCAAGTTATAAACGATGGTTTTTGGGTAATGTGTTTTCTGAAACGTTTTCTGAAAAAACGGTTTATCCAATCAAAAAACGGTTTGCTTTATTCAAAAGCCCTATCCTTAATCTGCAAAATGGCTTTTTTGAATTCTTGGAAAAATGTTTTATTTTAGAACTTTTTCAGGCATTTTAAATGTAAGAGTTGAAAATCCTGGTTTCTAGCATTCATGAGCTAATAGATTTTTGAGCAAAAAACTGATCAAAATGTGCTAGGTCTTGACCCAAAACCGAGATGTAAATCCAAAAGCATTCCTAGTAAGCCTAACAGTCAATATTCGCATTCAGGTGTTCCTATTTGCGCAGATCACAACCTGCTTCCACATTTCTCTATCCCTTGCTATTGTTATCCAGTGTTTCCTAGCTTGATCGTTCTTGGTTCCAAGTCTTCGACTTGCTTGTGCTGATGGTGGTTGCACTCTAGCTATCCTTTCTCTGACCGTCTCACTCTTGTGCTCCACCTCGTTGCTGGTCTGGGCCTCTTCTGGTCTCGTGGTAGCCACTCTGTGATCCGTATCGTCCACTGGATCCATATCGTCCATCTGTCGTCTGTTCTTCTGGCTACGTGGCCGGCCCATCTGAGTCTTTTTCTCTCAATCACTTCCACTGGATCTCTGAGTCCCGAGAGCTGGCGCATATCCATACTTCTTAGGTCTTGGTCGAGCTACGTCTTCCTATTGTACCCGAAGAGGTTCCTTTCAAGGGCTCGATGCGTCGTTCTCAGGGCTCGTTCAGCGGTATGTGTCGTGGGCCAGGTCTCTGTCATTTTTTTCTGTCAAAAAAAAAATCGGCTACGACAACAATTTTTGAGTGATTGTATACTTTTTAAAATAAAACGCCTCATCGATTACATAGTTTCCCAAAAATTTCAGAACAATCCAATCTTCGGAAGGTTGATTTTTAAATTGCACTTTTGCTCAAAATGAACTTTTTTGCTAATTTAATCCATTTTCTTTTGAATTTAAGCAAGATTAAAAAAAAATATCTGAATTTGGTTCCTTATCTCTCTAAATTTGGTTCCTTATCTCTCTACAGGGTCCGAGAAAAGTATTGTCGCGTCTCTTCGAACTAACTTTTATGCGATTTAAAAGTATCCTTTTGCGTTGTGTAAAACATGAATTTCGTCCAGTTTTTTTTCCTCTTTCGAATGGTGCATAGCATTCAATATGTATTTTTAGAAATGCAAGCTTGCCCTTATCGAGAAGCGATCGACATGCTTTTGAAAGCTGGAGAGTCGAAGGCGGCCATCTCGCGAAAGCTCAAAACCAACATCAGAACTGTTCAACGGCTTGCCAAACAATTGCAAGAGAAAGGGAACGTGAAACTATTTTATTTAAACAAAAAGAAACAGAAAAATCAACGAGAAAATTCTTCCAGACTCAAAACGATGACGACTTTTTTCTGGACACTTTCTAACTTTCTAGTTTTAACAAGAACACTTCAGGCTTTTATATAATCTCAAATAGAAGGTGAGTTAGAGTAGTTAATCCTAGAAACAAGAAGAAAAATCGGTTTGTTGTCCGAGTTTTACTGCTGTTTAAGTGATCCAATTACTTAAAAAGATGGACTTCCAGCCTCAAACCCACGACGACTTTTTTTCTGGACACTTTCTAACTTTCTAGTTTTAACAGCATGGCTTTTCTATAAATTGAAACTATTTTATTTAAAGGAAAAAGATAAAATATCACTAGAATATCACGAGATTCCGGCCACTTTTTTGCACACATAGTACGTTTGGATGAGATTCGAGGCGCCGATTCGCCAAAATGTGAAATCCCCGCAACCGATTTGAGCAGTCATCTGAAATGGAGAGAAAAATCGGGGCTTTTGCTTTGCTCAGCTTCAATACTGTAAAGGCTTTTTTACTTTTGTTGGAAGTAAAACTTACATAAAGTGATCCTGAGCTTTGATCGGATCCATAAAAGTTTCGGAAATCGAAAATCGTCCCGTCAAGCCAATACCAATTCCCACCGGAGTTGAGTCCTTAAAACAAGGATTTTTTTCATTTGTGACTAATTCGGGTACACTTTAGGCGTTCTTTGTGCTCAATTTTGGAAACACACCCTTTCTGGTTCACTCTTTTCATTTTACTTGGCTTTAAACGTTTTTTGACAGCCTAGCTTTAGACAAAAAAACAAAAAATTCGAAGTAGGGATCGAACTGATGAGGTATCGCTCTGGAAAAAAAGGTGTACCACTCGGGCCACGACTGCACTGAAGCCTGCTCCGCAAAGAGGCCACTAAGACCCAAACAACCATATTTTTCTAACAAAACTTTCGACAAAACTTTAGACGCTTATAACTCTTGACAGATTGTCATTTAGGAAAAGACGGAATATAGATTTGGAATCAGCATCAAATTCTGCATCGATTGGAATAGATCGCTTAGCATTTAGCTAAGCCAGTCCCTTGTTAGTCACCAGTTTCTCCATTTCGACGCTTATAACTCTTGACAGATTGTCATTTGGAAAAAACGGAATATGGATTTGGAATCAGCATAAAATTCTGTGTCGAATGGTATAGATCGCTTAGCATTTAGCTTAGCCAGTCCCTTGTTAGTCACCAGTTTTTCCATATTAAATCATTTTCTTTCTTTTGAGCACGAATCCAATATGCAAAATCAATCTGTTCTTCATTTTTTTCAATCAGAATTCAGAATCAGCATCAAATTCTGCATTGAATTCTGCATCGAATGGCATAGGTCGCATAGCATTTAGCTCAGCCGTTTGACCTTTCCCTGTCAGTTTTCAATTTTTGATCCTCACCTCCAAGCCAAACACTATTATATGGTGGAAGGCAATCTCTCGAATATTGCATTGTTAGACCTAAAAAAGGAACTTTTTTTTGACCGTCAAAGATAAGTTTTTACCCAAAATGAAGTAATTCTCGAGATCACTATGCACTGAAGCCAAATTCGCGTTCATCGATTGGCAACGAGATTGCGCATCGTAGAAGCTAGCTCCCATACCGGCCTAGATTTATAGAATTCGTTTAGAAAAGGAAAGAATCAAAAAAAGAGCTTGAATTTGGTAAAAACGAGAGAAATATTCAAGTTGATCAGTTAAGTTTTTGAAATTTCGATGTACTTACATAGTAGCAGTATCCGGTTTCAGCGAAATAACTCCATCCAACAGGGCATTGGCCAATAGAGGGGACTAAAAACTGATTACTAGTCATGATTACTAGTCAAATTAATATAAGACAAAGAAAGTTTCAATAAATGTTTATTATCCCATTTATTGTCTCAAAAATTTCCAATAAAAGTTTATTATTTTTTTTGTTTCAAAGGCGTTTGTAGGTAAAGCACTGGTAAATGTTTGAAAGGAAAATGGAAAACTTTAATCAACTTTAATCAACTAATTATTACTGCTTTAAAAATAATATAATGATCATAAAGAAGTGTTTTTCCGGAAAAAGCGAAGAGTTTGCGGCAAGCGGGATTGAATCCGAGAGGAAAGATTGCATAGACTTCGGAGGCTAGTACACTATCCCCTAGACCATCACTGCTTTCCTGCCCCATCGGCCTGTCGCTCTTATACAGGGTGCGTCATAATTATTGCAACAAGAGTTCAAAGACCGTTTTCCAAACAGCTTTCTTATTTTTTTGCCCCCTTTTTTGTTGTGTTGCGTTCTATCTTCTGTTATTCTTGCCTAATTGCCTCCCGCTCACACGAAGAAGACGGTTCAGGACTGGTGTGTGGCCAACTTTCCCTCAGTGATCACCAAGGACTGTAATTGGCCAACTTTCCCTCAGTGATCACCAAGGATGAATGGCCTCCAAACTCACCGGATCTCAATGTGATGGACTTTTCCATTTGGGCAATCTTAGAGGCTAATTTCTGCTCTTTGACCTTGAAGAAGTCTTTGACCAAAGGATGGAAGGCGACTCCTCAAGATGACATTCGGGCCGCAGTGGAGGCATATCCGAACCGATTAAGGGCTGTTATCAAGGTAAAAGGCGGTCATATCGAATGATCTCTTGTTTCCTTATTTGTTACTGTTAAATAAAGCTATTTCTGTTTAAAAATCTTCTTCCAGTGAAACTTCTTGGTGTGCAATGCCTTGAGTATCTTGTTGCAATAATTATGACGCACCCTGTAGGCTTGAATCCGAGAGGAAAAATTGCATAGACTTCGGAATATAGCACACTATCCCCTAGACCATCGCTGCTTTCCAGCTTATCGACCTGGCGCTCTTATAGGATTGAACCCGAGAGGAAAGATTTGCATAAGCTTCGGAGTCTAGCATCCCCTAGACCTAGAACTATCCCCTAGACCATCACTGCTTTCCTGCCTTCCGTCTGGCGCTCTTATAGGTAAGGTTTGCCAAAAATTGCCGAAGCTTTAAACACGTTTTTCTCTATATTATTTGTTTCATATGGGTTTTTTCTTCCCTAAATTTTGGGCTTATCGACTGAGCTTTCAGATTTTTTGTACAACATAATTCGTGTGTATAAATGTTTTTTTTTAAAAATTCCTCTATGCACTTTAACCTTAGCATTTAGCGCTCACTCACCAGTTGGCGGTCCAACGGTCGTTTGTTTCACAAAACACATGGACGTTTGTGCATCGTAGCAACTGACAGAGATAGATTGAGCATCGGGAACGAGCTCCAGCACACAGTTATCCGTTGTTGGATGACCTACAGCATTGTTTGCGTGTTTTCTCTTCACATACCTGGTGCCCAATTAAAATAGTTGGCCGGCGTTCCATCAACATTGAAAAATGAGCCATTATTTCCACGTCGTGTTCCCAAATAAAATGATGGATAGCCCCAAGCTGAAAAGATTTCAGATTAGGTTTACCTATTAATAGAATTGACTGTTCAGAAAGTTCAGAAAGTCTTTTCTGACACTCTTTTCGTTTCCTTTTCGTATGCATCAATTGAACAACGATTTATAGCCGTATATAGCGTATATAGTGAAATTTTCAGCGAAATTCTTTCAACCAACCTCTTCGTAGAGGTTTTTAAAGATTAAAAAGTTGTGTGATTTTGCGTAAAAAGCAGGTCATCTTTCCGTTTGTAAAGGGAATTTTATCGTAAGTGCCGTTTTTGCGAGTAGGCACACTATAGCATGGCAAAACTACCGTAGTCAAGACACTAATATACACCGTATTTTCTCTAATAGTAGTGCACCCCGGCGAGCCGAGTTGATGCCTATTTTACGGTTTCCAATTTTTCCGAGAGACTCAACACTCAAATCCTCCACTAGATCTCATCGTCAGCTACATTTTCCGACCTCACATCGATAGGTTCTGATGAGCGGTTCTCGAGATTTCGAGGAATTTAGACGACGATCAGGGTGCACTACTATTAGAGAAAATAAGGTAACCAAATTGAAACAAATAATGCTTCTTACTTCGGGGGTGGGACAAATCCGACCTTTTTTGCGCACCTGGACATTTGCGCACATTTTTTTCGCTGGAAAGGTCGTAGAGCTTCAAAAATCGTTTCACATAAGGAAATCGTATGCGTAGATTCCAAATTTCGACAAAACAGACCTCGCTGACACGTCAAATTTGGGCTAAAAGGCAAAAAATACGCAACTTAACGCTTTTCCTCAGTTTTTCCCTTTTAGCCCAAATTTGACGTCTCAGCGAGGGCTGATTTGTTGAAATTCGGAATCTACGCATACGATTCCCCTAGCTGAAACGATTTTTGAAGCTCTACAGCCTTTTCCAGCGAAAAAAAGGTACGCAAATGTCCAGGTGCGCAAAAAAAAAGTCGGATTTGTCTTTATTTATTGAAGTTAAAGCGCTTATTGAAATAGTGCATTTTAGAATCAACATGGATTGAGTTGATTTACGATAAAATGCCTTTTCAAAGAAGCTTTTTATTTGTCGTAGTCGCATTTGTCTCATTCCCGTTTATTTATTTTTGATCTTTGATTTGAAATTTGGCTTTTTTGTAAAAGATTTTTTTAAACTAACCATTTGCTAGTTGCACAATGTGTCCATTATCAAAAGCGTTGTGCACGGAGATCAAATGTCCTCCGTAAGAGTTGCACAATAGCTCGGCATTGTCAAATGAATCTGTCAAATGAGTCTGTTAAATGAATCGGTCAAATGAATCTGTCAAATGAATCGTTCAAATGAATCTGTCAAATGAATCGTTCAAATGAATCGTTCAAATGAATCTGTCAAATGAATCTGTTAAATGAATCGGTCAAATGAATCTGTCAAATGAATCATTCAAATGAATCTATCAAATGAATCTATCAAATGAATCTATCAAATGAATCTGTCAAATGAATATCGTTCAATTTAAAACAACTAGCCCTTTGCTAGAGCCCAAAAAACATCCTAAACCTCGATCTTGTTTAGGAGAGCTTAAACTTTCCTAAACTTTAATTGTTCTCGATTTCTGTAGCGAAACTCTGGCACTTAGGCTTTATAGAAAACGAGTTGTGCTTTAAAAGTGGTAAGAAAAAGAACCCACTCAATGTTAAAGGGAAAAGACATCCGCCCAATTGATTATCGTACTCAACTGGACAATCAAATGCATTAGAAATTAGAAAAAGTACAGAAATTAATAAAATTTTAGCAATAAACATTTCCTTGAAAAGATCTAAGCCAAGAAATTTGATGAATAACCTATTTAAACCCAAAAAAAAGCCTTATCAACTTTCAAAGAGGCCGTAAAATTTCTCATCACTGATTGGGAAGCCGTTTTTTGCCGTTTTTTGCGAGAGTTCCGGTGAAATCATGCATCTAATCTTTGCTGGAAGTATTTTTTGTGTTCTTGGCTGATTTTGATCAATTTATGCCCTAAATTTAAAATTCTAGATCCTGTTAAACCATTGTGTTAAAGGAGCAGCTAAATCGAGAGAACAATGAGATTTTCCTCGACTACCGTAGTCTTGTCTCTATTTTTATTCTAGATTGGTGATTAAGAAATTGGTTAAGTTAAAAACTGAAAACCAATGATGGCTTTACCGTTGACCTACAGTCAGCCCTAAGCTCTGCTGAATGAATCTGAGGTTTAAGCTGGGCTTAAACCTAAGCCTAAGCCCTAAGCCCGAGTCTAAACCTAAGCCTGAAGTCTGAGCCTAACCCTAAGCCCGAGTCTGAGCCTGAGCCTGAAGCCTGAGCCTGAGCCCGAGTCTGAGCCCGAGTCTGAGCCTGAGCCCGAGTCTGAGCCTGAGCCTGAGCCTGAGCCTGAGCCTGAGCCTAGTCTAAACCTAGCCTAAGCCTGAGCCAGCCTAAGCTTAGCCTAAGATTGAAATTGAAATTTGAGAAAAATTGAAACCTCATGGAAGTAATTTTGTGTTCTTGGCTGATTTCGATCAATTTATGCCCTAAATCTTTTAGCATTTTTGCTTAAAATTCTAGATCCTGTAACCAGTGTGTTAAAGAAGCAGCTAAATCGAGAGAGCAATGAGATTTTCCTCGATTACCGTAGTCTTGTCTCTATTCTTTTCCTAGATTGGCGATTTCTAGAGGCGAAATTGGGAACAAGAACGACGAGGGCAATACAGAGTAATATTATCTGATTACCGTAGCTTTAGATCTGTAATACTAGACCTACACTCTTCTTCTAGCGATCAGATCTTACTGTAATCTTAAAGACGTAGAGATTACGGTACCTGAACACAAATGTTAAAGACACGGCTTCACTGAGGCAAATATTTGCCTTAGAGCCTGACTACCGTAACCGATCCTTATATCCGTAGATCTTTATAATGTTTAATAAATCCTACTGTAATCAACGATGCATCTGAGTGACTGTAGCCTTTAGCTACATCGGCAGTCCGGATTACGGTAATCTAAACTGGCTAGTCAAGAACTAGAGCCTAGAGCCTGCCACAACTACCGTAACCATGTTTTTACACAGTAGCTTTGATATATGACTTTCAAAAACTATCCACTTGATTGCTAAAAAGCTAAAAAGCATTTCCAGTACGTTAGTGAAACGATCGAGTGGCGTCAATCCGCTTACGTTGATCCCTTACATGTCACCAGTAAGAGATCAACGAATCATTCAAAATTCGAATGTTTCTTTGCATTTGCGTGAATGAAAACTAAACGGATTATGAACATTAAAGAGTCAAGTAGAAATGAATCATTAAAACAAAAATGAGATTGAGAAATTCAAGAGACAAGTCAAGTGCTAGAAACGGTGTTTTTTTGCATGTTTAAGCACAGGCAAACATGTTGTCAAGCCATTCCCCGTGCCATAAACGCGATCGAGGTTTAATGAAGCTTCAATTGGACACAGTATGTCTTAATTCTTCGAATGGCTACCATTTTTCAAAACAAGCATTCAATTTCTATCAATTTTTCTAATAATTTTGCTGGAAAAAAATGAAAAACTGAATCGTTTTGTTTAAAACTATACTGAAACCATAAATAAACCGGTAAAAGTTTAAAATTTGACTTAATCAAAAATATCTGATTTGTAAAATTATCGGTCTACATTTAAAAATAGATATTTTTTTGATATTGATTTCAATGTTAGACAGTCCAAAGAACTACAATTTCTCAAGATTGAATAATCAGGCGACTCCCGCCTTTTGGATCCCTCTTCCCCCCACGCAAAACATGGCCGCATTAGCTCAGTTGGTAGAGCGTCAGACTTTTACGAATCGAAAGCTATCTGAATGTCAGGGGTTCGAGCCCCCTATGCGGCTAATCAATTTTGCATTTTTGCAAAAATCAAACCTTCGGCAAATTCTCGACTACGCATTCCCCATCCAAGCGAGGACGATGACGGGAAGCACCTGGTATCAATTGACAAATGACAACAAATATTACTATGGGTTGGTGGCTTTCAGTGAGTTATAGAAGAATCTGATTTTAGAACTGTGTACTGTAGCTATAGATAGCTACAATACTACAGTCTGAAAATCTTTAGACATCTACGTGCCAAACTCAATTTACTCCTAACCAGACGGTGAGTGTGAACGATTGTGGAATGGAGACACGCTGGGTTTTTCTTCCTGTGGCTTATCGGAACACATTAAAAAGAGACGAAAAATAAATGTTTTTCGATATTTTTTTGCTCATGATACACATAAACTTACCTGGAATTGAGTCCTGTGATGTAACATCAGCTGCACAAATAAACACTGACAATTTTGAGAAAGTTACAAAAAAATTACGACAATTGAGCCATTTTGATTTCACAATTCAATTTCAGCAAATCACCAAATCCAAGAGATTCCCTTTTACTAACCAGCATTCAACAAAACTTGAATAAAGTTTAAAAAAACTTGTGCTGTGATGGGCTTTATCATCTCTAAATATATACTTAACCAGAAACAAGCGCTGAAAACAAGACACAGGATTTGTCGATGTGGAAACAATTGCTCAACGTTGTTTACTTCATTCACTGTTGACAATTCAAACAACATTGTTAATCAACTCTGAAAGATTGACAAAGGGAAAGCAGGAAAAGAGATTATAATGGAAGATTTTTAAACCTCTGATAGCATTTGTTAAATTCATAAAATAAAAACTCGATTCAAAAAGTCCGCAATCTGTTTCTTTTGTTGCCATTTTTGACACTTTGACAGTTTAGACATTCATTCCCTGCCGCCACTCTTCTTATAAACACTTCCACAACGAGGGGAATCGTAGCCCGGTTAGCTCAGTCGGTAGAGCACCAGACTCTTAATCTGGCTGTCGCGGGTTCGAGCCCCGCATCGGGCTTATTTTTTTGAGATTTGTAAAAATGTTGTGGCCATTGTTTGTTTATCGATTGATAGCCAACAGATTCAACAGTCCTTCTCGATATAACGATTCTGTCAGAACCGCGAAATGGAGTCGCTACATAAAAAATCGTATATAAAGGGTGACGAGAAATAACCTAAGAATAGCCCATTCTATATTTCTGTTATTTGTAGACGATTTTCGATGTAACGATTCCATTCCGATAGAATCGTTATATCGAGAGTCGACTGGATAATATTTTGAATTGAAAAATTACAATTTTTAATAGAGGCCTAATGACAGATGACAGACTAGCGCTCGTTCAAGCGCTTGTTAAATGAGTTCTAGAAGTCGGATCAGAATGTTTTTAGTAGAAAAATGATGCCGGGAATCAAAGTTACAATTCTCTATCTGACACTTGACACTTTAGAAAGAAATTGGCCACTTGCCAGATACTTTTCCAAAAAGATGTCTCTATACTTTGCGGTCATCCGTCCCTTGTGTGTACTTTTCATGAGCCTCGTGGGAAAAAACGGCGTCTGGCACACGGCCCTTTCGGATAGCACGACAAAGATCCGACCTGCCGATTTAATTACCCAAGTTTCAATAGAAAAACGATGCCGGGAATGGAAGCTACAATTCTCTATCTAACACTTGACACTTTTGAAGGAGATTGGACACTTGCCAGACAGTTTTTCAAAGGTTGTCACTAGACGCCATTGACTGTAGAATATTTTGGCTTTTGAATTGAAAAATTACAATTTTTAATAGAGAAAAGCGGCCAAAAGCTTTTCAAAATTTGGATCTTTTTTGTATTTCCAATTTCCAATTTGATTCAATTCTAAAGGAAAGTAAAACTGATCACTTATTGATAAGCGATCCGTTTTACTATTCCTTTTGGATCTAACACCAAAGAAAACACTTGTTTTCATCTTTTCTTCATTAAAAGAAAAGCAAATGATATCATTTTTCAATTCTATTTTTTTCGAATGTGAAAATTGTTTTGAATTGGGGTGAATTTGTGCAAAAATCTCTGCAATTCCCTTCATTTTGCCTTTCGCTAATCAAATTTGGAAACGAAATTATGGTAAGGATTGAATATTGACACAATCAAACAGCCCCAATGATGTGAATTCAATGGGGATTTTGTTTTGAAAACAAGTAAATCACTGGTATAAAAGTGGATTCAGAATCCAGTCCAATCAACCAACCAACTCGCTCAAGCGACAATGAAAAACTTACAATTATTCTTTCTTTTGATTGCAACTCTCTCTGCAACTCGAATCCAAGCTGAATCCCAACAAAAAGCGAAAAATCAGTGCTCAAGTGTGCTCCAGTCTGCCGGAGCATCTCAATGGTTTGGAGCTAGCGTTGCACATTCCATTCACTCGATCAACGTTCGTGCTCTTCAAAAATTTGAACCATCAACTACCGAAAAGAATTCTGTGCCAACGGTTTGTAAAGCATTGATTCTTTCAATAGGTTGTTAGCGATCTACCTGTTCACATCAAAAACTCTAGCTAGACTGATCTTCTTGTTAAAGTTAGCACTTTACACCTAGTATTTAGCACCGTTAAAGATCTTGAATGATTCTTCTAGGTTCAGCTACAAGTTCTATTGAAACAAGTTCTATTCGAAACAAATAAGAGCCTCACGGCAGCTCTTGTCAGCGGCTGAACGTTGGCTTAGCCTTCTATCCAGCCCAACATTTTTGAGTTTCAAAAAAAAGTTTTTGAAAACATGAGAGAAGTGTGACAAGAGTCGAACCGAGCCCTTTATTCTCGCTACCGTCTTAGAGCCGGCCGTGCTAACAACTCAGCCATGCCATCCTCTTATTAGCCGTCGAGGCGAGCGAGTTAATAAACTGCTCGCCCCGCAAAAAGGGCTCTGGTGAGGCCTCGATTTTAACTTCGATTTTAGAAAAACCGACTGAGCCAAATAAAAAGTGGCAAAACAAGAAAGTCTTGTACTTTGATATAGTTTCTGGTTTCTGTTCTGGTATAGGACCATTTCCTCTAGGTCCACCAAAAAACGTGGCAAAGATCTTTCAGGTGAATCTCGACTTGTCAGCTGATCGCCCAATTCTCTCACATGCACCAGATCGACGCGGCCCAAGCGACTCGATGTACCTCACCGATGGAATGAAGACGTTGGATGAGGTGAGTGATTCGTTTACTAATATTAAGTCGAGTACCAAGTCTTGCACCGTGGGTGTTAAAAATTTCTTTTCTCAACGAATAATTAACGAGTTACAATTTGCTCAAATGAAAGCTCTATTGTTTCTTTACAATACTTTACTTTACTTTACTAGGAAGTACAATTTCATAATGGTAAGCACAATTCTACTATTTGGATACTCCATAAGTTTACTGAAACAAGTATGCTTAATGAAGGACTTGAAGATGTGTTTTACAAACTATAAACAGCATCTAGAGTAGGGTAAATCCTTTTTGTCCTTTGAGAATTGTGTAGGGTTTCTGAAGATCATAAAACACAGCTCTCATAAAACAAATGCTCATATCCAATCGTCTTTCTAGGTCCTCTCTCATATGGGTGACAAGAAATGGGACATCGGATTCTTCTCTCCTCTTGAACGAGTCGTTCATGTCTTCCACATGCAGGAAGCCTGGGAAATGACTCTTAAAGAATATCAAAAACTCAAGCAAAACCCGCCGTCATCCGATGTCTGCAAATGTGCTAAAGACATCGAAAACAACGGTGTACTGAAAATGCTGTGATTCAATGCACTGGCCATCCGAGAGGCTTCACTCATCTACGGCGACACGATGAAAGCTTACAATACGAGCTTGCAGTACTATATCCAAGGCGGATACACTTATCGTTTCAAACCGGAAAGAGTCTTCAAGTGGGTTTTGTAACAAAAAACAGACTAATAGCTGGGTTATTGCTTAAAAACTAGCGTTAAATTGAACCCCAAGAGCTTATGCATTCATTTTTTAATAATAAGAGATTGGATCTTGATATCCATCTCTTTCCAACATCCTCTCAGCACTAATGGAACATAAAAAACTTTCGAAATTCGAAAATCTATTAATCTATTGTCATTATTTACATCAGAAACTTTCAGGGAAAGCGAACGTGGGCTCTCGCTCGACCAAATTCTTTTAAAAGAAAAAGAGTCGATGCCCAAGCTCACCGATGCAGCTGCTTGGGAGAAATGGAAGGAAATCGGAAAAATGAGCATGACTGAACATTTTGACACAGCTCTCTTTTTTGTATTGCTCGTTGAATAAAGTCTAATCAGTGCAACATTGCTGGACAAACATTACTGCAATGTGAAGACAAATAATTCATTCTTGAACATCAATGTTTCACATTTCTTTTTTTAATCGGCTAGGCTAAGAATCTCTTTCAGTGATAAATGATTGAAAAAGAATGAAATTGGGTCACGAAATGAAACTTGGGTAATTAAACCAAAATTTGCCATCTTTGTCGCCCTATGTCGAAAAGGCTGTGTGCCAGTTGCCGTTTTTTGCAACGAGACACATCAAAGGTATACACAAGAGAAGGATGACAGTATGGAGGCAACTTTTTGGAAAAGCACCTGGCAAGTGTCCAATTTCTTTCAAAAGTGTCAAGTGTTAGAGAGAGAATTGTAGTTTTGAATCTTGGCATCATTTTTCTACTAAAAACTTTCCGATTCGCCTTCTACAACTCATTCAACAAGCACTTGAACGAGCGCTGGTCGACATCAGTCATTTGGCCGCTTTTCTCTATTAAAGATGGTAATTTTTCAATTCAAAAGCCAAAATATTATACAGTTGACTCTCGATATAAAGATTCTATTGGAATGGAATCGCTATATCGAATATCGTCTACAAATAACAGAAATATAGAATGGATTATTATTAGGTTAATTCTCGTCACCCTTTATATACGATTTTTTGATATAACGATTTCCATTCCACAGTCATGACAATCGTAATATCGAGACGGACTGTTGAATATTTTGGCTATCGAATCCATAAACAAACAATGGTCACGACATTTTTACAAATGTCAAAAAAATAAGCCCGATGCGGGGCTCGAACCCGCGACAGCCAGATTAAGAGTCTGGTGCTCTACCGACTGAGCTAACCGGGCTGCGATGGCTTTCTTTGTGGAAGTGTTTATAAGAAGAGTGGAGGCATGGACTGAATGTCTAAACCGTCAAAGTGTCAAAAAGGCAACAAAAGAAACAGATTGCGGACTTTTTGATGGAGTTTTATTTTATGAATTTAACAGATGCTTTCAGAGATTTTAAAATCTTCCATCATAATCTCTTTTCCTGATTTCCCTTTGTGAATCTTTCAGAGTTGATCAGCAATGCTGTTTGAACTTTTCGATGGTAAAAACAGTTAGCAATGAATGAAGTAAACAAAATTAAGCCATTGTTTCCACATCGACAAATCCTGTTTCTTGTTTTCAGCGCTTGTTTCTGATTAAGTATATTTTTAGAGATGATAAAGCACATCACAGCAAAAGTTTTTTTAAAGTTTATTCAAGTTTTGTTGAATGCTGATGAGGAAAAAGGAATCTCTTGGACTTTGTGATTTTTGTGAAATTGAGTTGTGAAATCAAAATGGCTCAATTGTCGTAATTTTTTTGTAAGTTTCTCAAAATTGTCAGTTTTTATCTGTGAAGCTGATAACACATTAAAGGACTCAATTCCAGGTAATTTGATGTGTGTTATCAGCAAAAAAATATCTAAAACATTTATTTTCCCGTCTCTTTTAATGTTTTCCGATAAGCCACAGGAAGCAAACCCAAGGTGTCCCCATTCCACAATTGTTCAAACTCACCGCCCGTGTAGGAGTAACTCTTTCAATTCAATTTCAATTTTTCAACTCTTTAATTTGAATCTGAGAATTTGCATATCAATTTGAGATGTAATTTGCATTTATCTTTTCGTTTGCAGAAAAGGCAAAAATGATTAGCCGCATAGGGGGCTCGAACCCCTGACATTCAGATCACCTTCGATTCGTAAAAGTCTGACGCTCTACCAACTGAGCTAATGCGGCCATGTCTTGACGGGGTGAACTAGGGGCCAAAAGGCGGGGAGTCGCCTGATCTTGAGCAGTCTTGAGAAATGGTAAGTATTCTTAAACACTAAAGTTATTCATTTATCAACAAAATGCAAATTTTTGGCCTTGAAAATTCTTTATAGAATTGTTTCAGACAAAAAAATGGTACTAATTCGGAGAATTGAGACATGCTGTGTCCATTAAACCTCGATCTTTTTCTATCGTAGATCTAGTGGATCCATTAGAATCTATCGCTCCAAAGCCATGTCATTGAGTCTTACTTTTTCAGCGTCTTTTCTTAAGAATCATTTATTATCTATTATATTATAATTATTATAAGCAAAAGAGCATGTTTGTCTTTTTTTTATCGGAAAATTTATCCTTTTTGACGGACTTTAAAAGGTTCATCATAATTTTCTAGTTTCTCGAGCAAAAACTTCCAATTTCTCTTATATTTCAACGTTTTTCTATTATTTATATTTATTTTTATTGTTAATTCACTATGATTGATTCCGATTGAATGCTTGACTTGAAATTATTCAATTCTTATGACCATTTTTTGTTGACAACGTGAGAGATTGATTGAAAATGAATACGAGATTCATCTACTTATCTATCCAATTCAAAAACTTTTCTTTATTTTGATTAAAATCTCTGAGTTTATTGGAATAAATAATAAGCGATCGTTGATTTTTGAATCAATTGAAACAACGCAACTGTGTATACCCAAAAACGAACGAATGTTTTCATTTAGATCTCAAGCGGTTTGTACAGTCTAACTGTCATCTTATTCTTCACATTCTACGGGTTTCAACGAGAAAATGACACCTCTTTCAACTATTTCTCCGTGTCTTTAATCTACTCACCGAATTTGGGAGTTCCTTTACGGCCATTGCTGGTGTGTTGATCACATTAGAACTTGTTTGAATCAATTGAAACAACGCAACGAAGGTATTCAAGATTTGTATTGCAAAAAAACAACGAGAAACATACACTAAAGTTTTCTTTGTAAAAACTCTTATAAACTCTAAACTCTAAAAAGTTTAGGCTCTTCAATTTTTAGCCGGAGTGAATTGTGCTAGGGCGATCATTTTCTGCTTCAAATTCCGATTTGAAGTGGTTGTCTATGGAAAGTTAAAAGATTACTATTCTTTATATCACAAATATTTCCTAAATTCATTGTTTACTATACAATTTCCAATAATTGCAGTTTTCATTTGGACATCTACCACTCCAACAGATTTTCAAGTTGTTTTGGTGAGTTTGATGGGAGTTTGATGGGAGTTTGATGGGAGTTCTTGGGGAAAATTCGAGCCTAGCCTAGGAAAATTCATATCCGGCCTGCTCAAAGCTCGCTCATTTGTACAATTGTGATTTAGAAAATGTACAAATGTACAAATGTACAGAAATCAATGAAATTTCAGTACCAAACCTCTATCATCTTCTCAATGCATCAAACCATCACTCAACCTTTCACATCTCATTTCACCGTTCTTTATCTAAGCATATTCTTTGTTATTTTGCTGACCACTTCTTCTCGGTTTTTATATCATCGGCACATATGTTTTGTTGTTTTTTTTTGTTTTGTTTTGTTTTGTAAAGTTTTGTTTCTGTGGGTTTTTGTGAGTTACCAAGATTGTAATCTTATTTTTATAAGCTGTTATTTTATATTTCAATGATTTAAGTTCAATGATTCAATGATCAATGTGAGGTACATTATAGATTACAGATTATGGATGATTTCAAGCGGCTCAATTTACTCAAAATGCTCAAATCCTGAGTTCAAATCGTTGCTTCATTCAGTCTATACGTCTATAAATTTTTGCTTTTCAACAAGATGAACGGTAACGGGATGAACGGTAACGCGATGAACATTAACGCGATGATTTATTCACGACAATCGATGCCTTCCATTCGTATCTAATGGACTGACCCAAGAAACTGTAGAAATTTTCTTTTCCATTCCTCTAGCGAGTAAATTGATGACATATTTTAGATAGGGTTTTGTTGTAAGTAGAATCGCAAAAGGATATAGAAAACCAAAAGGAACGATTAGAAACCAAACGATGAAGTTAAAAGCTAGGCGATTTATAAATGATATTTACTCAAAAATAATTACCAGGTAAAGCCTCTGAAGAGAGGCTGAAAAATGTAGCAATTAGTAATAGCGAAGCGAGTACGGCGGGCCAGAGGGAGAAAGCTGTCTGGAAGGTTTGATGTTAGACGAAGTTGATCTGTTATGAATCAAGATATCAAATCGTTTAGAGTAGCAACTCAAAAACTCAACTCAAAATCGCTTACTATCCCAATTTGTATTTAAACAAATAAAACAAAAAAAAACCTTTTTTATTTTAGAGAATGGGTATTTCCACTTTTCTTTTGTCAGCTCAGCAACATCGATTTCATAAAATTTCTATTTTAATTGGCAAAAACGTCATTCTTACTGACATTCAGTGTTCTGATGAGCTTTTTTTTACATATATTTCTAAAAGAACAAACTAAAAACTTATTTGTACCCTACCTGTAAAAGAAGCATCCAAAAAGCAAACTTTTGTGCTTTCAGCGTTTTGGCTGATTGTTGAAAGGCGACTTTCTTGCTCAAATACAACAAAACGTATGTGCCGATGATATAAAAACCGAGAAGAAGTGCGTAGGTCAGCAAAATCACAAGGATTATGCTTAGATAAAGAACGGTGATATGAGATGTGAGAGGTTGAACGATGATTTGATGCATTGAGAAGATGATAGAGGTTTGGCACTGAAAGTTTGATTGATTTCTGTACATTTGTACATTTGTACATTTTCTAAATCACAATTGTACAAATGAGCGAGCTTTGAGCAGGCCGGATATGAATTTTCCTAGGCTAGGCTCGAATTTTCCCCAAGAACTCCCATCAAACTCCCATCAAACTCCCATCAAACTCACCAAAACAACTTGAAAATCTGTTGGAGTGGTAGATGTCCAAATGAAAACTGCAATTATTGGAAATTGTATAGTAAACAATGAATTTAGGAAATATTTGTGATATAAAGAATAGTAATCTTTTAACTTTCCATAGACAACCGCTTCAAATCGGAATTTGAAGCAGAAAATGATCGCCCTAGCACAATTCACTCCGGCTAAAAATTGAAGAGCCTAAATTTTTGTATTTAGAGTTTATAATATTAGGTTGATGCAAAAGTCTTTTTCATTTTTTTCGTCTGCCGTTTCAAGCCAACAAATGCACCAATTAAACTACGGTTGATTTCATTAGAAAAAGCAATTATTTTTCTGCAAAATAACATTAAAACGGGTTTAAAAATATTTAATGCCTGGATTTTCTTGAGAGTATGAAGTCGGGTAGTCAAAAAGGGCTAACTCGATGATGCGGTTTAGGCTCAGGCTCAGGCTCAGGCTCAGGCTAAGCCTCAGCCTAAGCCTGAGCCTGAGCCTGAGCGGTTTAGACACCTTAGCTAAAGAAAACCTATCTTCGTGTCAATAGATAAAAGATAGAGAAAAAAAGTTTGATATTTCGCCAAAATTTCAGAGAAATTCATTCAGGCAATTTTTCCGTAGAGTTTTTTATAGATTTTTACGAAAAAGGCGTTTTTCACTCTCGAATTTGCTTGAAAGTGAACCGAAATTCATTTAAAAAGATGGAAATTGAACAAAAAAAACACTTTTTATTTAGAGAAAAGCATAGGTTAATTGGTGAATTTGTTACTTTTTAACAGAAGTACGAAAAAAATGAAAAAGACTTTTGCATCAACCTAATAGTTTGCAAAGAAAACTTTAGTGTAGGTTTCTAGTTGATTTTTGATTTTTGAAATACAAGGCCTGAACACTTTCATTGAGTTGTTTCAATTGATTCAAAAATCAACGATCGGTTATTATTTGTTGCAATAAACTCAGAACAATTTTAGTCAAAATATAGAAAAGTTTCTGAATTGGATAGATAATTAGATGTTTCTAGTTGATTTTTTGAAATACAAGGCTTGAACACTTTCGTTGAGTTGTTTCACTTGATTCAAACAAGTTCTAATGTGATCAACACACCAGCAATGGCCGTAAAGGAACTCCCAAATTCAGTGAGTAGATCAAAGACACGGAGAAATAGTTGAAAGAGGTGTCATTTTCTCGTTGAAACCCGTAGAATGTGAAGAATAAGATGACAGTTAGACTGTACAAACCGCTTGAGATCTAAATGAAAACATTCGTTCGTTTTTGGGTATACACAGAACAGTAGCCAGGCCTGGCAAAGGGGTAATTCCTTTCCCTGAAATCATTTTGCTTTTCGGGGAGGATTTCAATTTTTGTTTACAAAATAAATATAAAGGTTTTACAAAATATAAAATAGCGATTTTTACACTTTGTTTGTATAAAGTATATGGACTAAAATTGACCGGGTGAGTCATAATTTTTCTTTTCTTTTCAGAACTTTTCAGTCATCCTGTAATACAGGGTGCATCATAATCACTCATACTCACAGCACAAGGTCTGCAAGATGCCAGTACTTAGCAATACAATAGTACGACTGGTTGGATTGGATTGATCGGCTTCGCTTGGCTTGGCTTATTGGTACAGAGCTATTAGGTTGGTGCAAAAGAAATTTCGGTCGATATAAAATGTTCTTATTTTTTTTAATCTGAAGAGCTTATTTGATGTTCTTTTGTGCATTTGTACTCTTGGATATTTACTTTATTTTCGCATTTTTTTCAAAGTCAGAGCTTTCACTTTTTAATTGATTTTTGCTTTAGATCATGGTGGATCAAAAGTATGTTCTGCGCACGTGTCTTCTCTATGACTTCAAAATGGGCAAAAACGCTGCTGATTCACATCGTGATCTCTGTTCCGCCTTTGGAGAACAGGTTATCACCGAAAGATCATGCCAGCTCTGGTTTGCCCAATTCCGAGATGGTAATGAATCCCTTGAAGACGAATCGCATGGACATCGTGCCACAGCCATCGACAACAATGAATTGGAACAATTAATTGAAGCAGATCCAATGCAAACAACACGAGAACTTGCCAAACATCTCAATGTGATCATTCAACAATTGTACGCCATTTGGAAATAATTGGAAAGACAAATCGTAATGGACAATGGGTTCCACATCAATTGAGTGTTGAGAATCTGGGAGCACGCGTTTCGATCAGCCATATCTTGCTCCATAAGTCGAAAAGAAGCCATTTTTTTGAGAATATCTTGACGATGGATGAGAAGTGGATTCACTTTGATAATACTTCTCGAAAAAGACAATGGCTGAGCAAAGGTCAAGCGCCAATTCCAACTCCAAAGCCGGATTATCATGGGCGCAAAGTGATGTTGTCTTGCTGGTGGAATATCAATGGACTTGTTCATTTTGAATTATTAGAGCCCGGAAAAACAGTCGATTCATCTTATTTTATGCAACAACTCAAGAAGGTTGACGAAATTTTGCGTGAAAAAGGCCTAAATCCCTCAACTATCAACTTTCTCCGTGATAATGCTCCAGCTCACAAGGCAAAAACCTCTTGTAAGGAACTAGAGAAGCTAGGATGGAAGGTCTTACCACATGCGCCGTATAGTCCAGACTTAGCACCCTCCGATTTTCACCTTTTCAGATCGATGCAACATTCCCTTGAGAATTGCCAGTTTAAGAATGCAAAAGAAGTCGAAAATTGGGTGACCAACTACTTTGCATCACAGAATCAAGCGTTCTTTGAGAAGGGGATCCGCAATCTGAAGCAACGTTGGAGGGATGTCATAGATAATAATGGTGCTTATTGTTTTAAATAAATTGTTATCTAAAAAAATTTTGGATGACTTTAATGTTTGTAAAAAAGCGAAATTTCATTTGCACCAACCTAGTATAGTGATACACCAAGTACAATCAAACCAAGTCATTTATATCTACAGGGTTCATCATAATTACTCATAACCAAGCGAAGCCGATCAATCCAATTCAGCTAGTCGTACTATTGTCGTCGTACTATCCAACTAGTCGTACTATCGATCAGTCGGATCGATCAGTCGGATCGATCAGTCGGATTGATCAGCCGGATCGATCAGCCGGATTGATCAGTCGGATTGATCAGCCGGATCGATCAGCCGGATTGATCAGTCGGATTGATCAGCCGAATCGATCAGCCGAATCGATCAGCCGGATTGATCAGTCGGATTGATCAGCCGGATCGATCAGCCGGATTGATCAGCCGGATTGATCAGTCGGATTGATCAGTCGGATTGATCAGCCGAATCGATCAGCCGAATCGATCAGCCGGATTGATCAGCCGAATCGATCAGCCGGATTGATCAGTCGGATTGATCAGCCGGATTGATCAACCGGATTGATCAGCCGAATCGATCAGCCGGATCGATCAGAATTTGTTCGAAGATCATTATAACTTTTTTCTCGATTTTAGCCACTATTAGCCTAGAAGAAATCTTAATTAACCAGATTGAAAAAGGAGATTGATTTGGATAATTTTTGAGGTATCCTTTAGTATGAAGATGTACTATTTCATCCTTTAACAGAATCTAGAAAGCATTTGATTTAAAAAAAACTAACCAAACTATCGAAAAGATGTTTCCGATAGGCGAGCATTTTCATTGGAGTGGCCTTGTATGCAATGAATATCATTAAAGAGATCGAAATTAGAGTCAGAAAAAGTAAAATGATCGTCAATTCGACGCGATAAAGAATTGGATCTGTGCCGATTGAGTAAATTGCAATCATTTCTTCAACTATTTATTTATAAACGAATTATGAAACAAAATCGTTAGGTTGATTTTAATTCAAAAGAAAAATGTGACGATTCTTGGTATGGATTTGTAAAATTGTGTCTGATCAACAAAAGCCCAGAATACATGTACATTGTGGCCAGGTGAAATGCTCACTTTCAATTATCGTTCTCCTTTTTATGTCCTTAAAGGCCAATTTTTTTAATAGTACATCTGATAACAAGAAAGATTGATTCAACAAGATCGATGTTTCGCATGAAATGTAAAAAATGTTAAGTCTGTTTTCAGAAATATACCGTTTTCTCTCTAATAGTAGTGCACCTTGATCGTCGTCTAAATTCCTCGAAATCTCGAGAACCGCTTATCAGAACCTAACGCTGTGTGGTCGGAAAATGTAGCTGACGATGAGATCTTGTGGGGGATTTGAGTGTTGAGCTTCTCGGAAAAATTGGAAACCGTAAAATAGGCATCAACTCGGCTCGCCTAGGCATCAACTCGGCTCGCCTAGGCATCAACTCGGCTCGCCTAGGCATCAACTCGGCTCGCCTAGGCATCAACCTCGGCTCGCCTAGGCATCAACTCGGCTCGCCTAGGCATCAACTCGGCTCGCCTAGGCATCAACTCGGCTCGCCTAGGCATCAACTCGGCTCGCCTAGGCATCAACTCGGCTCGCCTAGGCATCAACTCGGCTCGCCTGGGCATCAACTCGGCTCGCCTAGGCATCAACTCGGCTCGCCTAGGCATCAACTCGGCTCGCCTAGGCATCAACTCGGCTCGCCTAGGCATCAACTCGGCCTCGCCTAGGCATCAACTCGGCTCGCCTAGGCATCAACTCGGCTCGCCTAGGCATCAACTCGGCTCGCCTAGGCATCAACTCGGCTCGCCTAGGCATCAACTCGGCTCGCCTAGGCATCAACTCGGCTCGCCTAGGCATCAACTCGGCTCGCCTAGGCATCAACTCGGCTCGCCTAGGCATCAACTCGGCTCGCCTAGGCATCAACTCGGCTCGCCTAGGCATCAACTCGGCTCGCCTAGGCATCAACTCGGCTCGCCTAGGCATCAACTCGGCTCGCCTAGGCATCAACTCGGCTCGCCTAGGCATCAACTCGCTCGCACGACTATCAGAGAGAAAACGGTATTTGCAATATGACAGATCTACAGCAGAATCAAGCTTTATGATCTAATTGTAAGATTTAAGGTGATTCCGATGTTCAATTCTAGGCACGAGTTACGGTAACAAGAGCATTTACGGTAATCCGTAAACTCTTTGTAGTTACCGTATTTTCTCTAATAGTAGTGCACCCAGAGCGTCGCCTAAATTCCTCGAAATCTCGAGAACCGCTTATCAGAACCTATCGATGTGGGGTCGGAAAATGTAGCTGACGATGAGATCTAGTGGGGAATTAAAGCGTTGAGCTTCTACAAAAGCTTCGAAACCGTAAAATAGTCATCAACTCGTAAAATAGTCATCAATTTCAAGTATTTATCCTTTCTGCTCTAAATTATTCTTTCAAAAAGTCGATCACGTCTTTCTTTTTTATTAAATTCTAAATTTAACCATAAAAATGTTATACAATCAAAATTCTAACAATTTGTCCGAATTCCGGTCGATTGATTACAGATTTTGATATATTTTCCCTTTAGAAATCTTCTTGCCATCCCAATTCGGTGATTTTGTCGATCTTTGGCCAAATTTCTTTTTTCTTGTCATATTTTGACGGGTAACAGCTTTCAAAACATTGCAAAATTCAAGCCAAACCTCTATAAAACTCAAAAATTGGATTGAAACGAAAGTTTTATAGGCAAAATAACAATGAAACTTCTTGTTGTTCTTGTTGTTCTTGTCGTTCTTGTCTCTTCTAAACCGCTAAACTTTCATCTTTAAATTGAAAGAGATCATGAACCTTGTTGTCGATTCGCTCTGTTCAGAAACTACAACCGGAAGACATGACAGCATTGACTCTACCAAACGGAACAACGGGTCGAAAATCGATTGCATGTGGAAATATCAATCTGTCATCGATTCTTTAACTATTTTTCTCAAGCTAAACAATCATTGAAGCAAGTTTTGGTGCTTCATTTCTTGTTAATTCCCTCGGAGAGACTTTGTCTTACATTCAACTACTTTAATACAGTGCGTTTCAAATTCTTAAACGCACCCTCTAAAATAGCGAATTTTGCATTTTGAGCACCGCTACAACTATTAATCTTTTTTATTAGAAAGAGCATGTCTTAAAACTTAAAAAACACGAAAAATAAGCATACTGTCAAAAATAAAAATCTTCAAAACAGAAACTTTTTGCTAAATCAACCGTTTCAAATCCTTAAACGCACTATGAAAATATTTTTATTTATCGACACAAATTAACAATCAAAGGTAAAAACCAAAACTAATAATCTGTACACGCACCAGAACGATTAACTACGTGAAAAATGCGGCCTGGCATTGAGTTGATGAGGTTTTGAAAAGCCAAGACGTCGAGATAGCTTCAGGCCAAACGGATCGCTGTTTTAAGTACAAAATACGTCTTGAAACTGACGATGATTTTTGTAGGCAGCTTGGACAAGTATTCGGAATCAATTCCCTATCGGATTGACGTCAGGAGATCGAGCGGGTCAGTCCAAAGCTGCATTGTTGTTGTTGTTCAGCCGGTCTCGGGTGTCTCCGGCTCGATGAATTGACGCGTTGTCGTATTGAAACAAATCGGGAACGGTTGGATTTAGGAGCAAAAACAGCAACAAGCAATTGTTCAAGATATCTATTGAGTCATCCGATTCGAAACCATCTTCAGAGCGACCGTTCCATCAGCACAAAAGGCGGCCCAAACTATCACAGAACCACCGCCAAAGTTTCGAGTCCCAAACACCATCGGATCACGTCGAAGATCCCTCCAATAGTAGCCAACGCCATCGGGACCATCCAAATTCCATTTTTTCTCATCGGAAAAGATCACCTAAACGCAAAAAAAATAATAAAACATAATCGGCTTTCTAACCATAGACCAATCCTGATTCATATGAGCCTTGGCGAACGTCAATCGGGCTTTCTTGTGCAAAAGCGTCACAGCCGGTTGCTTGTTCAACAAGTGTCGATCGATATGTGAATTTTCCGTGACGGCTCGCCAAATTGTCGACTTCGAAGCGTCGATTTTCCGTTCCGTTTTCACGTCATTGATCGTTTTTCCGTGGATGTTGTTCACAAAATGGCGTCTAGCTCGCGGTGTAAGCTTTTGTTTTGGTCCTGGGTTCTTCTTTGGTGCAGAAACGAACTCAACTTTATATTAGGTTGATGCATAAGTCTTTTCGTTTTTTTCGTACTTCTGTTAAAAAGTAACAAATTCACCAATTAACCTATGCTTTTCTCTAAATAAAAAGTGTTTTTTTTGTTCAATTTCCATCTTTTTAAATGAATTTCGGTTCACTTTCAAGCAAATTCGAGAGTGAAAAACGCCTTTTTCGTAAAAATCTATAAAAAACTCTACGGAAAAATTGGCTGAATCTACGATTCTCTGAAATTTTGGCGAAATATCAAACGTTTTTTTTCTCTATCTTTTATCTATTGACACGAAGATAGGTTTTCTTTAGCTAAGGTGTCTAAACCGCTCAGGCTTAGGCTCAGGCTTAGGCTTAGGCTTAGGCTGAGGCTTAGCCTGAGCCTGAGCCTGAGCCTGAGCCTAAACCGCATCATCGAGTTAGCCCTTTTTGACTACCCGACTTCATACTCTCAAGAAAATCCAGGCATTAAATATTTTTAAACCCGTTTTAATGTTATTTTGCAGAAAAATAATTGGTTTTTCTAATGAAATCAACCGTAGTTTAATTGGTGCATTTGTTGGCTTGAAACGGCAGACGAAAAGGAACGAAAAGACTTATGCATCAACCTAATATAATTTTGCCGGCAGAGTCGGATTGGCCCAAATTTTTTTGCGATTTTCCTTATTGAGTCGCCAATCCTCAAACCGCATCAATCTGGCCTTCCTCATAATCCGTGAGCAGCTTTCCGTGTGCCATTTACTTGGAAATTAACAAAAATTATAAATTTAATAAAAAAATATGCACAACAAAACGAAAAATTTCAAATAACAGCAGCAAAGGCGGGTGCGTTTAGGAATTTGAAACGGTTGATTTAGCAAAAAGTTTCTGTTTTGAAAATTTTTATTTTTGACAGTATGCTTATTTTTCGTGTTTTTTAAGTTTTAAGACATGCTCTTTCTAATAAAAAAGATTAATAGTTGTAGCGGTGCTCAAAATGCAAAATTCGCTATTTTAGAGGGTGCGTTTAAGAATTTGAAACGCACTGTATTAAAGTAGTTGAATGTAAGACAAAGTCTCTCCGAGGGAATTAACAAGAAATGAAGCACCAAAACTTGCTTCAATGATTGTTTAGCTTGAGAAAAATAGTTAAAGAATCGATGACAGATTGATATTTCCACATGCAATCGATTTTCGACCCGTTGTTCCGTTTGGTAGAGTCAATGCTGTCATGTCTTCCGGTTGTAGTTTCTGAACAGAGAGAATCGACAACAAGGTTCATGATCTCTTTCAATTTAAAGATGAAAGTTTGGCGGTTTAGAAGAGTAAGACTTACATAATTCAAGAGAGCTCGATTTTCTTTGATATGAATTGGAGATGAGGCTCCCATAACAACACTGAAAAGTGTTCAAATATCTGAAAATATCTGAAAGTGCTTTGTTTTACCCCATGCCTCGATTCAATGCATAGATGTACTCAAGCATTTTCGGTGTGATCTTGTATTTGTTAGCGATTTTTGTGAATTTCGAAACAATATTGAGTAGATTTGCTTGATCGTGACGCAGTTGACAAGTGTAAGCCTAGAAAATTTGTTCAGAGAGTTGATCTTTACTTGAATAGTAAACAGTTACCGTATTTTCTCTAGTA